AGGATCTATTGGCAAAGCCCCAAGATCCAAAGAACACAGAAAAGAGCCCAGGAGCATTGGAAAGCCCTTTTACCTTTCTATAGTTGGCCTGTAGGGGGATCGGTGAGGGGGTATAGAAGAAGAGAAGCAGCAACACAGAGATGTGAGATCCCAGGGCCCCTGTTGCCAGCAGAGTTCCCCCAGTGAATAGAATAAGTACCCTTCTTGTCAGGGTGAAAAGTCTGGACTCAGATACTGCCTCACCTATTCAGTGAGTGGTCAGAATGCATGTCTCCCTCTTGACATCTGCTAGGCCTTACACTGCCCAACAATTTACCCGACACTCCCTTGGCAGAAGCTATCCCCTCTCCCTCTTAGTAACAAGCCTTTAGAACCTGAAGGAAACCTTTAGAATCCATTCAATTTAACCTAGATACTAGTTCCCATTCAGAGGTGTTATAGCAACTGTGGTTACCTTCCTTATCATACTAAGGCTGGCAATTGCAGGGAGAACTTGGACTGTATAGGACTCACTCAAATTAGTGGGTCAGGGGTATTTGGTTAAGCCTTAATGAAGACAGCAGGCATCAGTGCACAGCAGCACCTATATATCAACAAGCCCTGGATCCATTCTAGATTCGATTAGACAGGTGAGAGGTTACTAAATTACTAAGGCAATGCAGTAAAAGTGGTTTTGCTTTTTTTCCCCCCCTGTGCCTCAATTGAAGTCGGGCCATTTGCAGCCACAGCAACCTGCATCCATTGGAGGGCAGTCTTGCACTTTTCAGTGAGGCAAGTGAGTCCACAGCTTTTTTTTTTCTTCCAGTGTGAGGCTAAATCACCTGGCTGGAAAATGCAAGTGTGGGGATTCCAAGCAATCAGGAGATGATTTGCATTCAAAAGACAGCTTGCTGTGCTTGCAGGTGTGGGGAGGAAAAAGTGGGTCAAGTTGTTCCAGCCACCTGGAAAACCTCTGTTATGCAGGGCTTGGTGGCACAAGCCTGTAATCCCAGCAACTCAGGAGGCTGAGGCAGGAGGAATAGAGCTAAAGTACAGAAAGGGAAATTTATAAAATTTATAGCACCAAGTGCTTTCATTAGAAATTAGGAATGGTGCTGGGTGTGTTGGCACACACCTGTAATCCCAGCAGCTCAGGAGGCTGAAACAGGAGGATCAGGAATTCAAAGTCAGCCAGCCTCAGCAAGGATGAGGCACTAAGCAATTCAGTGAGACCCTGTCCCTAAATAAAATACAAAATGGGGTTGGAGATGTGGCTCAGTGGTCGAGTACCCTTGAGTTCAATCCACAGTACCCCCCCCCCCCGAAAAAAACCCCAAAAGATAGACCACTGACTCCAATTAAAATCAAATAAAAGCATGCTTATTATTTCGACCAGCCAGGCTGCCTCTCCCAACAAAAGACAGTCTTGCAGCTTTTTAGAAGCACAGCTTTATAGCCCAGAAAGTTACACAAAGGGGGATTACAGATAACAAAACTCTGAGAAGCATAACGCAAAGGCTAGTTTATCTTTTTTGCTGGCCCCAACATCAGAATTTATGAAGGTCATTAGAGCCTTAGAGAGGGTTGTTATCTGGTCAGGGAAGGCCAGGCATGGGTGAGTTCCAGGCACAGGCAGGCATTCCAACCAGTTTAGAATTTGCAGTAATTTATAGTAAAGCCGAAATTAGCTGTTTATGCCTTGGTGGCAAGATGGCTCCCAATTTTAAGAGGGAATCAGAATGGGTTTATCAAGTTCAGAAAAGGTAGCATTATTGTCTTTTCAGAAGAAAATCTAAATGTAATATATTTAAAACTGTTTCATGCACAAGTGAATTTTGAGTATCATACTAAATACCTATGAGTTTCCAAATACAAATAAAGTTGCTCATTCTATTACCATTAGAAGTCTACAGTAAAAGCTTCAGAATGGTTATAATACGATGGCTAAACCCATGATTTTTAAAATAAATCAAAAATAAATTTAAAAAAATAATTTGGAAAGAGTGATGGGAAAACTTTTAAATTCAGTGTGGAGTGTGATTCAGCCTAGACTAGAGGTCTTGAATTAAAGCTGCTGACCCACCTCATGGCCTAGAAAGCCACTTTGTGGGGGCTGGGCTGGGGCTCAGTGGTAGCGCACTTGCATGGTATTTGTGAGGCACTAGGTTTGATTCTCAGCACCATGCTTAAATAAATAAAGATCTATCAACAACTTAAAATTTTTTTTTAAAAAATGAAAGTCATGTTGTGTCCCTTTGGAGGTGGAGACAAACTGCAACTGAAAGGCTTTTTAGAAAGAGGCAATGAGCACAACAATTAGGCAAACATATAAAAAGAAGATATTTGCTGTTTCTTGTTTGGATAAAGTCACTAATCTGAATAATATTGAATGTTAGGTATTAATATTGAATATTAGATATTGGGTAGAGATTCCTTGATGTATATGACCAGAGCATGAAGTTTGAAATAAATTATCACTAGGTGTCATTTATTAAAATTATTTATTCGTATATATTTATGAAGAGAAAAAAAAATTGGTTTGTCAAATGGAGAATGAATGGGGATAATCAACCCTTTATTTTTTTTTTTATGGAACTTCTTCCTGTGATATTATTCTTTTTTTTAAAATTCTTTTTGTTTTAGGTGGACACACTATATTTATTTATTTATTTTTTAGAGAGGGGGGGAGAGAAAGAGAGAGAGAGAATTTAATATTTATTTTTTTCGTTTTCGCTTGAGCCACATTCCCAGCCCCCTCAACCCTTTCTATATTAAGTTTTCATTCTCAAAGACCCTGTTTTAATTTACATTGGGCTATATTATTTATTTTAACTGAGAGTTCATGGGAATGAAATGGGATCCCATTTGGTTAAGGCAACTTGTAAGTGTCAAAGCTTTACCTTGACTTTATTTTTCATTCTCTCAGAGCATATTTTACAACAGTGAGTATTACGACTATGAGATAACATTTAAAGGGCAAATTTATCTAGTTTTCTCTGTATTGTACGTAGCAACTTGCCTTTTTTTTTTTTTCTTTTTTGGTACCAAGGATTGAGCTCAAAGGCCACTAAACCACATCCCGCCCTTTTTTGTCTCTTATTTATTTATTTATTTATTTTCTATTAAGAGGTGGTTTGACAATTCCAAACTATTTCTCATCAATTTTTAAAAGGTATTTACAAAAAGTTTCAATTTTACTACTTCTACTTTTAACTATATCAAGCACTTCTAAATATATAGAAGGACTAGATATTCCACAAAAGACCCTGTCTACTATTCACACAGCACTGGTAAAGAAAATTGCACGTGTATCAATGACTAAATATGAGGTATCTTCTAATATGACCATTTTGTCTTTGAACCTTTTCCTCCTCATTTCCTTCTATTTTCAGTCCAGTGGACAAGTACAGGCATATGTAACAGAGATGGTTGAACAAATTCATATCCAAAAGTCTTTTTACAGAGGACAAACTTTCCTGTGAATTTCAACATAAAATGTACACAAAGTTCTATTTTACTAACACCTTGGTCATACACTGGCAACCTCTTTAACATCTAGAGACTAGATGTTGTAAAATTGAGACTTATTTGTCCATTATATACACTATATACACAGCAAAACAAAATGCACAAAACATAGAAAACTGATGTCTGAAAATGTCCAAGTATGAACACACTGACCTTTTGCAATTGCTTCCCTCCTACCTCCTCCACATCACTGAGCAAGAACAGATAGTAGTAATCTACCATTCCCAAAAGACTATTTCATATGAATTTTAGCAAAAATATATTTGCAAAGTGATATTTTACTACCTCTACATTTAACATACATCGGGCACTTCTAAACATCTAGACAAGACTAGATGTTTCAAATAAGGACTCAATTTGTCCACCATGTACATGACAGTCTTGAATCCATAGCACACATGTAACAATAGTTCTCATTTAAAATTATCTTCAGAATATGAGCATTCTGGCCCTTCACGGACCCAGTGGGCTACAATGCTCAAATTTTCAAAAGACAACCCTTCCTAGGAATTTTAACAAAAAACATACAAAATGGTTTAGTAATTCTACTTTTGTCATACACTGGCAACCGCTTTAACATCTAGAAAGACTAGATGTAGATTAGGAGGACTCATTTGTCCTTTATACACACTATGTACACAGCAAAATAAAACAAAATCCATAGACAACTCTTGGCTCTTGGTAAGCACACTGGCATGGTGCTCCCCAGGACAGGCACACAACTCTGTACTACTCAACAGGGGTTTCCCTGTTGCACACCCCCCCCCCCCCCCGCCCAATAAAGAAACCATTTCATAAGAATTTTAACAAAAGAAATTTACAAAATGTGTTATATATTTTATTATTTCTACTTTTTTTTAAAGGGTTTTTTTTTTTTAATCTTTTTTTTTTTTTGGTGGGGTTCTTTTTTTTGGAACTGGGGTTGGAACCCAGGGCTTTGTGAATGCAAGGCAGACACCACTTCTACTTTTAACATGTATCAGGCACTTTAAAACATCTCGGTACTTAAAAAAAAAAAAAAGTATTTAGCATTTTCAACCATATATACAATAACGAGGAATAAAATGCACGTGCAAAATAATGGTTATTATACAAAAATTGTTACTTAAAACCAGTCTGGCCCAGGACTCTTTGTGACGGTCAGTCTTCTCCATGTCCAACATCCCACTGAACAAACAAAACCACTTCCTAGAGGTGATCTGACAAATCCATTTCAAAGTCACTTCCAAAAGGCATTTCTGATTTTTTCAAACAAATGGACATTTACAAGACAAATTTCATCTCCAACTCTATCACACGGCAGGCATCCTCTTTACCTTTATGATGTCCAGATGCAGCACAAGTTTTAAAAGGTGGGGGGCAAGTTGAGAGCAGCTTTTTCACATTATAGACAAAGGCCTTTTACAAAGGGCCAGGAAATCTTCCCAGAGGGTGGCAGACGTTTCCAACTGGGCAGATGAGGCCTGTGACTCGACCATTTCTCTCTTTGTTAGAAGGAACACCAACCGCCCCAACACCAACCACCAACCACCGAACACCAACCGCCAGAGGCCGCTAACAGTTCTACCTTCTAGGGCTTCGCTCACCTTCCAGAACGGTTCCGTCTTTGTTGGCGAGACAAGGTGAGGTCTAGCAGGCGGCGCTGAGCGCTCACGAGGGCCCTAGTCTGTGCAGCTCCGCTGTCCAACACGTGGCCGAGCTTGCAGGCGTCAGCTGTCCTTCTTGGGATCTTGAAGCCCGTGCTGGCCTCCAAGGCATTCGGCATTCCAGCGGCCACCATTCTTCTGGCCATGCCATGCACGCAAAGGGGCCACATCCCCGGTGACGGCTTCAGCTGGTACAGGCAGGACTGAGCCGGGAGACCGGGCAGCCTGCGGGGTCCAGAGTCCAACAGGTCGCCACCACCATCAGGTCATCCATCCTGGATGACAGGCTCCTCAGTCGTTCACAGCCAGGGCCAGCCAGTGGGCAGTGGGCAGAAGCTCCGGGGATCTGCAGGGGAGGTTGGTCCTGTCTGCGGGCCCCCCAGCTCACCCACTGGCCCCAGGCCAGGGGCCCCCAGAGGGCCCAGGAGAGCAGGCCGCACTCACTGAGTTACTTAACACCTTGCTAAGTTGCTGAAGCTGGCTTTGAACTCCTGATCCTCCTGCCTCAGCCTCCTGAGCTGCTGGGATCACAGGTGTGCATCACTGCACCTGGTATGTCCAGATATAATTGTAACTTTCATCCGGGTATGGATAACCTCACACATTTTTTGTCTCGTGTTTCAATTTATCATCTATACATCAAATACATGTTGTCCTGCTATCAGAAAAGCCTATCAGCAACTTGTAACCATTTTGTTGTTTTTTGGGGGATTGAATGAACCCAGGGGTGCTGTGCTGCTGAGCCATATCCCTAGCCCTTTTTTTTTTTTTCATTTATTTTATTTGCTTATTTTTATATAGTTCTGAGATCGAACCCAGTGCCTCACTCATGCTAGGCAAGTGCTCTACCACTGAGCGACAACCCCAACCCCCTAATTATTTTTTGAGACAGGGACTCCATAAGTTATTAGCTTGACCTTATGTGACTGAAATCTCAGTCCTCATTCTTGAAGCCAATCCAATAACAAAGACAAGGTCTTGAGAAAAAGGAAAATGTTTCATTGTTTTGCTAGCAAAGGAGAAACAGGTGAACTCCTGTCCCAGAGCCTGTGATTCTGCCCATCATGAGGAATAGGAGACTCTTAAAGAGGTGATTCAGAGAAATAAGATAAGGGAGGAGAAGGTCAGGGAAAAGAATGTTAGGAAAAGAAAAAAACATGTTTCAAAGCCACAAGGGATATAATCAAAGCATCAAATGAACCCCCATTACACTTAAACCTCTGATCCTCCTGCCTCTGCCTTCAAGTTGTTGAAATTATTGGCCTATGCTACTGCACATTGCAGTTGTTAATGTTTTTGTTACATAAATTCTTTGTGGTGCTGGAAATTGAACCATACAAGGCAAGCACTTACCAACTAGCCCCTATACAAATTTTGACTTTCCAGTTTCATGAAATTATGGACATTCGCTTTATTTATTTATTTATTTATTTATTTATTCTTTTCTTTTCTTTTCTTTTTTTTTGGTATCCAGGATTGAACGCTCGATCACTGAGCCACATCCCCAGCCCTATTTTGTATTTTAGAGACGGGTCTCACTGTTGCTGAGGCAGGCTTTGAACTCATCTCCTATCTCAGCCTCAGGAGCTTCTGGGATTACAGGCGTATGCCACAGTGCCCGGCTAGTTAGATATTATTTATACATGAATGCATTCTACCATATCTTTATATTAAAATGGTACATGTATATAATTAATTTTTTTACCTTTTATTTTATTTTCATTTGTCCAGTTGTTTGCTTATGAATTGTTAAGTAATCAAAGGCTAGCTTTATGCTTGCTAGATGTGATATTTGCTCAGTTCAAAGTCCCTTTCTTTTTTTCTTGGACTTGTAGCCACCTTAAGAAAGTCCATTTTCGTTTCATAATTTAAAAATTTTCTTTACATTTGTAGCCACCTGATGTGCCTCACCGGCCCCCCTTTTGTTTGTCTGTCTTTTAGGCTTCCTCATGAGGTTGGTTTGTCTTCATGGTTGAGGAAAAAAAGCTGAGGAAAGAGGAGGAACTTGATATGTCTAGGTAGTAGCTGTTCCCTGGGACTACCTGACACCTTAGAAAGGTAACCAGACTTACAGCCTCTCCTCCCCACATTCTCGCTGCCCCCACCCCATTCTGGGGTTTAAACCTTGGCACTTTACCACTAAGCAACATCCCAGGTCCTTTTTATTTATTTTGAGACAGGGTTTTGCTAAGTTGGTGAAGGTCTCACTAAATTGGTGAGGTTGGCCTCCATCTTGCCATGCTTCTAACTTAGCTTCCTAGGTCATCATTTTTTGCACAAGAGTGCTGCAGCAAGACCACAGAGATGTGAGATCCCAGGGCCACTGTTGCCAGCAGAGTGCCCTTATCCCCCAGTGAATGGGGCACCCTTCTTGTCGGCCTGAAAAATGCGTCCTCAGGTAAGACCTCACTAATTCAGAAGTACTCTGAATGCATGTCTCCCTCTTGCCATCTGCTAAGCCACACCCTGGTCCCAAATCCTCCTTATAGCTCCTTGGCAGTGGTTATGTTCCTGAAAGCTGGGTCCTTGTCCCCATGTCAATCAAATAATGAAGACATGGTTTTTGGGTTTTTAAATTTTTTTTTAGTTATACATGGACACAATATCTTTATTTTGTTTATTTATTTTTATGTGGTGCTGAGGATCGAACACTTTATATATACCTGAGACAAAACAGTGTACTTCACTAATGTAATGTGCATTACCACATTAGCCTCAAATAAAATCAGGATGTAGTACACATAATTATCACCATATGGTAAGTCTTCTATGAATCATCAGTAAGAGAGGCACATCTATTTGTTGCTGATTATATACATCCAGAAGACAGCATTCTTCACTTTGCTTTACCACATGTCCTCAGACAACATCAGGATACATGGTGAAAGGAGACTTATAAAGCAGTATATGGGAGTCAAAAGGTCATCATTTTTTGCACTTGTCCTCGGAAAACATCCATCAGAGTGACATTAAAGTGCTCTTCATTCTGAATGTGGGTATAAAAGTAACATTCCCAGAGCCTGTGTTCATACTATAGTGGATGTATTCTTTACTACCATTCACTAATGAATTTTTGGTTTTTTTCCATAGGATTTGGAGGATAACACCCAGACAGGGAAACGTGCCATTGTTCCTGCTACTAAATATTGTTTCATTTTCTTTGTGCTACATATTTTTGACATATGAAAGTTTGTCTCCATTGTGAATTTTTTTCCAGTTAGGGATACCTGGCACAGCTTTGATTAGGGAGGGAAATTTTGACTCTGCTTCGGGATGGAGTGAAATGATTCTCTCAACCCAAGGTAGAAGGGTAAGTATCTTTCTTGATGGTGATATCCACATAGAAAGGTAGTAATGTAGTGATATTACATATTCTGATACCACTCAGAAAGACAAAATTATCCTGGCTGAGGCAGAAGGATCGTATGATAATATTATTTTTACTGATCCATGTATTTTACACAAATGACAATAGTTTAAACCCAATGTGAACTTTCATTTCACTGAATGTTCCTCTGATGGTCATATGATATGAGAATCAAATTTGTACACTAAGAATAGTGGAAATTTTGATTCTTGACATGTAGACAAATCACCAGGAGAAAGGGGATATTTCTTAATGCTAGGAAGATGTAAATTGCAGTAAAAAGTCTTCAATAAGGTTTCTCACAATATGTCCAAAATAATATCAGAAAGAGGGAAAGAGAAATAAAAAATATCAGAAATTTAAGGTTAAATATCGCATAATGAAGATTAAATTTGAAACACACACATTATTTTTCCATTTGGTAGCCTCAAATGTATCTAGCAGTGGCACGTTGAGTGTGAAACATGTCACAGTAGAAGAATGTCTTGTAAGAAAAGTCCGCGGAGTTCCCAGTCAGAATGGGGGACTCTACTCAGGACCAGAGAGAGGGGTTCTTGGCCTATGGAATGCGAAATTATTTCTTCTGGCAGAACTCTGATTACGGGCGGCAATCCTTCCAAAGTGTGCTTTGGAGTGATGATACGCTCCACTTGGCCTTCTATGTGGAGTTCCAGAAGGTAAGGGAAGTGTGTTTACTGCTGGTGATATACACATGGGAGGAGATGGCACTTGTCACCAGTGTGCCTTACCACGTGGCCTCAATCATCCTCCAAATGTGTGGCTGTAGGTGGCCTACCTTCCAGCTGATCTTCCTCTGACACAAACCATTGGGACTGTTCCGTGCTCTCTGGGTCCAGACTGAATGTGGCTGTACATGCCAGAAACAGGGGGGCACACAGCACACACGTGGGAGGTTTTCATAGGTAGAGACTGATTTGCAGCTGGTACTTTATTCCATTCCCAGGAGAGATGAATGCCTGGTGGCAAAGTAGTCCCTTCGGGGTGCAGTGTGACTTGAGTTTCCTCACTGCTACCCTCTGAAGACTGAGCTGTCCTTTCAGATAGATAGTGCCCGTTGGTTGGGTATGTAGCTACACTGAAATAAGAGGTGAGGCAGAGAGAGGCCGCTTTCCTTCAGAATGTTGTCAACTACTGTGAGGGGTCAAGGCCAGTATAATTCACTTCCCCAAATACTGAACACAGAGAGTGGGAATTGTGAAGAATGATGGCAAGGAAAGGCTTGAGAATACTTGCTATGCTTGGTAGTTGTCCCGGAGAGACTGGTTCAGTGGTAGCCTCAAGAGAGAGTTTCAGAAAAGGAACCACCTGACTTAGGTGTTGTACTTGAGCAGCAGCTGATAAAAAGAATATTATAGAATATATAATCATTTTATATAAAATAAAAAGTATCCCATATATAACACTATGAAATAATTATACATCATATGGAATTATGTAATTGTATCTGGATCAATGGCCAACGTCTCATTGTGGGGTTCTTTTTCCTGCCCAGGAGAATCTAATCTACCCTGAAACTTAAAAGTCTCAAATAATTAGTGAATAACAAAATATAAATATTCAGAAATATATTTACAAAAGGCGAAGCCCCTGATAGATCTAATCCACATTGTGTCTGGAACTAGACAAAAAAAAGATGGCTCCAGTGGTTTATTTGAGAGGCAGGGATAAGGTTTCCAGGGCAGAGTCTTGTGATGTCTAGTAGTCAGCAGGTTGATTGGCATCTTCTCAGGTCACACCCATCTCAGGTGCTGTGTCAGAGCTTTTGCAAAGCTTGAGTGTGAAGTTCACCTGCATCAGGCCGTCCAGCTCTACAATCCTGCCATGGGAAATTCCCAATGCCAGACTTCTCCCCTCACAAGGCTACTTACTATGTGCATCATAGTCTACACAAAGGAGACATAAAAAGTGTATTTCAAAGTGTAATTTTATAACAAAATTAAATATTAGTCCTAATGTTTAGAAATATGTAATATATTATATTTAGAAATATGTAATATATTAAATCATAATGTCATCTCATATATCATTTTATAGATCACATTTCGATTGAGTAATGCATAATTATGAAATAATATGTTGTTTATGACATGGCATACATTGTATAATAATGTATAATAATGTTATAATTATCCGAAATATCTTTTATATGTTCACAATATTATATTTAGCATATACATGACATATTATTCATAACATGTAGAAAATATTAATTAAGTATATAGAATATTAAATGGTATCATGTATTTTACATTCTTTATACATTATGTAATAAAATCATTATACCAGGCGCAGTGGGGCACACCTATAATTCCAGGAACTTGAGTGGCTGAGGCAGGAGGATCGCAAGTTCAAGGCTAGCCTCAGCAACTTAGAGAGGTTGGAAATGTATCTCTGTACTAAAGTGCCCCTGGTTTCAATCCCCAGTGCCAAAATAAAAAAATAATATCTTCATGTTCAATTGTTGCTTAAATACGGGGCTGGGGATGTGGCTCAAGCGGTAGTGCGCTCGCCTGGCATGCGTGCAGCCCAGGTTCGATCCTCAGCACCACATACAAAGATGTTGTGTCTGCCGAGAACTAAAAAATAAATATTAAAAATTCTCTCTCTCTCTCTTTAAAAAAATAAAAAAAACACCAAACAATTGTTGCTTAAATATGATTTTATATGTGCGAATATGTATAATGTATAATATGGTATAATGTGCAAGCATTATAAGCATTATATGTGAAATATGATTATATAAAACAATATTACATACAAAGTTTACAAAGATAATTGTTACATATAATTTTATGGCTGTATTCTATGTAGTATAGGTGATAGTATATACTCTGTAGTATTACATGTTATGTTACATTTGAAATATGTATTGCCCATATTATTTGTCCTACATATTACATGTTATAAAATTTATAATGATACAGAATTTCACATACTGTCACATAAAATAATGATTGCATGTACATTATATAATGTAGATTACGTATACTTGTGTGTAACTTATGAAAATTTATTTCCAGTCATAATGGATTGTGTTTACTTCAATATGGAATCACTTTCTGTTTTAGTTACCTTTTTTGTCACTGTTACCAAAACACCCAACAAGAACGACTTAGAGAAGGAAAAATTTACTTGGAACTCAAAATTTCAAATGTCTAATAAGTCCACAGATAGCTGACTCCATTACTCCTGGTTCCAGGTGAGGCAGTATATCATGGTAAAAATGGCACGAGCAGGAAAGTAGCTCAGATTATGGTGGGGTCAGGAAGGAGAGAGAGAAAAAGAGACCAAGGAGCCATAGGGAAGCTAGACACTTCTAGGGTAAACCTCTGATGCCTACACTTACCACTCAGTCTGTCCATTCGAACTAGGATGTACTCATTAGGTCATAGCTCTAATAATCCAATCATTTCACCTCCAAACTTTCCTGCATCAACAGGAGTTTTAGAGGTACATCTCATCCAAATCTTAACACTTTGTCATATAGTCATGAAATTTTTTATCTTACTGTTCTAAATAATAAATATAAAGTGAGATGTATCAAATGCAAATGTTTTCACTAAAGCATAAGCATATTATATATCTAATATATAATAACTATGCAAAAAAATATTGCATATTAAATATATATCATTACTTTGTATTATTAGTATTTTTTGGTGCCACGAATTGAACACAGGGGTACTTATTCACTAATCCACATCCCCAGTGCTTCTTATTATTCATTTTTTTTGGGGGGTGGGGGTTTGTTTTGTCTTGTTGATACCAGGGATTGAACTCAGGGGCCCTCAACCACTGAGCTATATCCCAGCCCTATATTTTATTTTATTTAGAGACAGGGTCTCACTGAGTTGCTAAGTGCCTTGTCCTTGCTGAGGCTGGCTTTGAACTTGTGATCCTCCTGCCTCAGCCTTGTCTCACACTGGGGTTTTGGGGGACACCTCACATCCAAACCATAACATCCACCAAGATAGCCACCATGAAGGAGACATCTGACAAGGAGGAGAGTTTGATAGGGTGTGTCAGTCAGGGAAGGCAACACAGAAACACACACAGACACACACTTACCTGAAATAACAAATAGTTTTCTTTTATGATTTCAATATTTAAATTTTATATCATTTAATTTGCAAATAATAACTTAATGTATTTATAGGGTATAATATAATGTTTCAATATATGATACATATGAATCACAGAGAGAACACAGCAGTGACTTCACAGGGTTAAATGGAATGCAGTAGTTGCCCAGGATCTCTGTGAAAACCAGCATGTGGGTAGCAGGACTGTGAGAGGGTCCTGAGTGTTAAGGCTATTATTGGGATTAAGGACTCATGCAAGAAGATTCTCAGGGGGAGTTGTAATTGGTGGATTTCAAGCAAGCAGGTGTGAGCTCCGTGGTGGGCACCTATGATTGAGGGGTGCTCACTGTGGAAGATCTGCACAGTCCAGCAGCCTGTGGAGGTCTATTGATTAGTCAAATAGGTTGCAGAGAGCTGTTCCATTGGGAAGTGATCACTAGCAGGAGATTGTATATAGAATATATCTGAATTGATAACACCGAGGATGTGTTAGGGATAATAAAGCCCTCCTTGTGGTATGAGAAATTGCATGTTATATGTAACAGAGATGCTGAGACAACATAAAATTATAAAATTCACTACAACTTACCTCATGGTCTGTAGCATTACTTTGCGTACTGGGGATTGAATCCAGGGATTCTTAACCACTGAGCCACATCCCCAGCCTTTTTTAAATATTTTATCTAGAGACAGGGTCTTGGTGAGTTGCCTAGGATCACACTAAATTGCTGAGGCTGGCTTTGAACTCTTGATCCCCCAGCCTAAGTGTTCCAAGCTGCTAGGATTATAGGAATCTGCTACTGCACTGGGCTCACTAGCATTATTTTAAAATGTAAAGCAGTTGTAGTTTGAGTGGTACACATACTGACTGTAGAAAGACGGTGGTTGGCAGCTGAGATATGGAGATGAAAACTGAGAGATTGTGGGGAAAGCTGGATGTGTATAGCAGCAGGCCAAAGAATCAGGGAGTGTGGGATCCTGTCCCCAGCGACAAGGCACTTGATGCAGGTGCCTCCTAAGGAAGTAAATAATCTCCTTTAACTTTTGTGACCTGTGCCTGTTTTTCTTCTAGGTATAGAAGTTTAGGATTGTACATTTGTACAGAGTGCATGGATCATGGACTATGTAATGAGTTCAGGAAGAAAAGCCAGGTGAAGATTTTGGCATAGGGGTGAAGACTTCTTCAGCACACAAAGTCACATCATCTCCATTGGTGAGATTTAGGAAAATGGCCATGTTTTGGGGGATGTGGGACTGGGGTATGCTTTGAAGTGACAGTACACTGGCCTTGATGCATTTGCCTAGTTTTGTTAAAACCATGGCTTACTGCAAAGATAGGGACTTCTGAAGTAAATGTTCAGAGAATTTCAATACAAAGTAGAAATGAATATTTTAGCACACTGAGCCATATACAAGCTTGGCATTGATGAAAAGAAGCTGCATGAACTCTACTAATGTAGCAGTGACAGGTAAGTCATCTACAGTGACTAGTGGAGTTCTTATATTAATTTTAAGTGCCTTGTAGATACACGGAATAGTCATTGGAGTTTCATTATTCCATTTAAAAGTTAAAATGAGCTCCCTTATGTTTATTGCATTGTACTGATATGTATGTCACATAACAGCAACCATTTTAACCTTCCTGGACCCTTCAATGTTCCCAACACATTTACCTTGCCATGCGCCATCACCACTATCCAGTTCCAGAACACTCTGTTACCCCAAAAGACACTGTGTACCTGTTAGCCCTTAGTCCCTGTTGTCCCCTCCCCTCACTGCTTGGCAACCCCTAATCTCTATGGGATTGCCTATTCTGGACATTTAAATAAACAGCATGACTTTTTAAGTTTATTAACTTGATTTATGACTTTTAAATGTTTAGGCATGTGGTTTGTGGGCCTTTGATAAAAAAATTATTGATGCAAAAATTATTAATTACAATTTTCTGTTTTCCTTTACTCCTTTTAATGACTGAATAATCACTTACGTTTTGTAGCAGTTAAGTGAAACATTTCAAGTAGTACATGTACATGTCACCTGCAACATTTTCTGCCATTCTTGGAAGACGCGTGTAGTTGATTGGACACAATTCATCTAGTGTTGTTCTTGCCCTTGGCCATTGGCTGCTCTCAGGTCCCTAATAGTTGTTGGTATTGCTGAACACGGAACATGTACATTCTGAGATTTTGCATATTTTTTTTCCAAAGAAAAGGAGTGGACCTTTGAACCGTGGCCCAAGTTTGTTTTCATTTTTGTTGTCTTTGTATAGAATGCGGAGGGGAGGGGGTGAATGGGCAGGTCTTTTAGAAATATTGCTGATGGTGGAGACACTGTTTTAGAGAAAAGTCCTGGTGCTGGTTTCCTTCCTCCTTGGCACTGAGGCAGTAACTGTGGAAGGCTCCTGCTCAAAAATGAGAAGAAGCAGTGGTAGTGTGGCTACAACCAGAGGCTGGTTCTGCTCATCTCCCTTTCTTCTTCCTGGGTGTCTTGCTTATTTATGTTTTTTCTGTGCCACTCGTACAGGGACAGTCATGATTTTTTTCCCTAAGGTGTTTTTTTTTCTCTTTTTTTGGTAGTGGTGGTGGTGGTGCTAGAATTGAACCCAGGGCCTTATAAATGCTAGGCAAGCATGCTTTATCACTGAGCCACATCCCCAGCCCATGACTTTTTTTTTTTTTTTTTTTTAATGTTTTTCTAGTTGTTGATAGACCTTTATTTTATTTCTTTATATGGTCCCCACACTCAGAGTGAGGGTGGCTCCTGAGCTGGGGTAAGGTATCATACAATCCAGGGTGACATGCTACAGGCCCAGGAAGGTATTCCAGGCAGCAGACTGGAGAGAAGCAATGACTCAGCTTGGCGCCACTTTCCCTGTGTTCCAGCAGTTGAGGCTGCCACGTGGACTCCTCTCCCTACACCTTGTGGATCTTTGCGCTGTGACTCAGGCCGAGCCAGAAATCCCAGCCCCTCCTCAGGGTCCACTTACTAAAGAGGAAGTCCCCAGTCCAGGCTGGCAGTAGCAGCCTCCCTGGTGCCCTGCTGCTGGCTCTGGCAAGGGCTCTGACAAAGGCTCTGGCTTGTTTACGGGCATGAGGAGCCACCTTTTCTGAGAAGGAGAGCTGGGGAAAAGGGGGACGCCAGGGGCCCGCTGGTCCGGGTTAGCACTGAGGTGTAGGCTGCTCTCCAGTGCTCGCTGGCTCGCAGCACTCTCCAGCAGCAGCCATGGAGCTATGAGCTCATCAGGCTCCTCCCTCTGTGTAGGTTTCCCGCCTCTCGACAAGGACAGGGGTGGGGGCGGGGAAGAGCGGCGCCTACTGATGACACAATCACTCAGAGACCGCTCTCCTCCCCCGCCCTCTGCCTTCCGCCTGCAAGGACATTTTTATAATTTTTTTTTTTTTTTTTTTTTTTGAGAGAGAGAGAGACAATTTTTTTTTTTAAATATTTATTTTTCAGTTCTCGGCGGACACAACATCTTTGTTTGTATGTGGTGCTGAGGATCGAACCCGGCTGGACGCGTGCCAGGCGAGCGCGCTACCGCTTGAGCCACATCCCCAGCCCCAGAACATTTAAATGAGGGCTATGTTGCATCTGAGATTAGGAAATACTAAAAAACCTTGACTTTATATGTACTTCGTATGTGTGTCAGACAAAGCTGCCTGGAAGAGGGTGTTCTTAACGTATCCTGATTCCTCATCGAGTTCCAAAAGCAGCTCCGATTTTAATAATATTGACTATTGTTTAGGGAGGCTTTAAGGATGGAATCAAAGTATTAAGGTTTGGGTAAAGCACCATAAAGCACCGTTTAATTTCTTTTCTTAAAAAACGATTGTATCGGGGCTGGGGATGTGGCTCAAGCGGTAGCGCGCTCGCCTGGCATGCGTGCGGCCCGGGTTCGATCCTCAGCACCACATACAAAACGAAGATGTTGTATCCGCCGATAACTAAAAAATAAATATTAAAAATTTAAAAAAAAAATATTAAAAAAAAAAAACAAAAACGATTGTATCAATGCATTATAGTCACACCTGATAGTAGAGTTTATTTTCACATAATCATGCATGCATGGAATGTAATTTGCTCCATTTTAGTCCCAGGTGTGCCCTCTTTCCCTCTGCTACCCTCTTATTCATTTTACTTGCTTATTATTTCAGATTCAAGAAGACCAAATTGGCCTGTCAAATGAGAAAACAGACACTAGCATCAAGTCCTTCTTAATTAGCTAGGTATGTTTTTATGCTCAAAAGTCCTGTATTAACTTAATAGAGCCATTGAACTGTTTTAACCCAGTGTAAATGAGATCCCATTTTATCAAGCTAATTTGTAGATGCACAAACTTACTTCAGTATATTCTTTGTGTCAGAGTATATATGACCAATATAGAAATTTTTGGAACAGTGAGTATTATGAGTGTGGGAAATTTGGGGAAGGCAGCCATAGCCGGTTTTTTTTTTCTGTATTATATTTAGTTACCTGTTGAAGATTGAAAGCTGCAGAATTTTAAAATTTCATGGGATCCCAGGTGTACCTTTTTGGAGCCCCAGTATTATTAGCCCAGTGAATTTTTGTCAATTGGTGTAGTTTTTCGAAAGTTAGTGTTTAGACACACAGTCAATCAGCACTTTGTTTTTCCCTTTTTCTTAGGTGGAGGCTTCATCTGGGAGAGGCAGGATTGAGCCAACAGACCAGGCAGCCTGCGGAGTCTAATGGGTCGCCTCCATCAGGTCATCCATCCTGGGTGACAGGCTCACTGGTCCTTCACAGCCAGGGCCAGCCATTGGCAAGGAGCTATGGGGATCTGCGAGGCTGCATCCTGTCCCTGGCGTCCCAGCTCACCTGCTGGCCCTGGGGGGCCTCCAGAGGGCTCAGGAGAGCAGGCCACATGTACTTTTATAGTAAATAGTAAACTGTTCAATTTACTTGCTTTAAAGACAAGTAATGGCTCTGGAGGCAGAGGCTTAAGGATCAAGTTCAAAGCCATCTTCAGCAACAGCCAAACAACTCAGCTAGGATTTACCTCTAAATAAAATACAAAATGGAGCTGGGGATGTGTCTCTGTGCCCCTGAGTTCAATCCCCAGAGACAAGTAAAAAGCAGGAAAATCCAAAATGACAGCCAAATACTGAAATTCTGGTAAACAGAAATAAAACTTGAAGTCATCAAGCTGCATATGGTTTGCTCTGCCTCCAGCAAATTGGGAGCTTTTGGAAGCAGGAACATCACAGATTCCAGGTCAAGGAAGCAACTAAAAGAGAACCTGACTCAAAATTAAAATATTAAGAGGGGGTGGGTGGGGACAGAGCCCAATAGAGTGCCCCAGTTCAATCCCCAGTCTACTGCCCTGACCCTCAAAAAACCTTACAGTAATGGAGATACTGTAGCTCTGGAGAAAAGATTTTGGACTTCATAAAAATTTTAAAAATTTAGTGGGGCACAGTAGCTCACACCTATAATTCCAGCACCTGGGGAGACCCTTTCTCAAAATAGAAAATTAAGGTAGGCCCAGTGTTGCACACCTGCAACCCCAGCTGCTCAGGAGGGTGAGGCAGGAATAGGGTGAATCAGGAAGATGGCAAGTTCAAAGCCAGCCTCTGCAAAAATGAGGAGATAAGCAACTCAGTGAGACCCTGTCTCTAAATAAAATACAAAATGGGGCTGGGGATGGAGCCCAGTGGTGGAGCGCCCCTGAGTTGAATCCCCAGTACCAAAAAACAAATAAAATTTAAAGGAGCAGGGCACACTGTCCCAGGCTTGTAAATCCCAGTGGCTGGGGAGGCTGAGTCAGTCTCAGCAATTTAGGGAGACTATGAGACTGTCTCAAAAATCAAAAAACAATAAAACTGCGTGTGTGTGGTGTGTGTGTAGCTCAGCACCCTTGGGTTCAATCTCAGGTACCAAATAAATAAATTAGAAGGGCTGGGGAGTTAGCTCAGTGCCCCGGGGATCAATCCCCAGCACCACACACACAGTCACACACACAAACACACACTCAATTACAATACTGAAGGATATGCCCCCTTTTTACCCCAACCACAGGCTAATAGGCATTCACTAAAATTAGAGTAATACATACAGGCAAGCTGAAGGAGACAGACTTACTACATCTTCAGCGAAGTGCCAAGAGCAAACCAGAAGCTAAGCAGGGGTACAAAACCAATCTACAGTAACCCCCCACTGCCATCTGTGCTTTTGCTTTCCCTGGTAATAGTTACCTGAGAAATACTGGTCCAGAAATATGAAATAAAAATACCAGAATAAGTATTTAGAAATAAATGAAAGTTTGAAACTCTAAGAATTATCAAAAAATGTGACAGACACAAAATGAACACACATTTTTGGAAATCTTTTTGTTTTTGTTTATTAGTATGAGGGATTGAACCCAGGGGGTTTTAAAGACTGATCCATATCCCCAGCCTTTTTAATTTTGAGACAGGTTTTCTCTAAATTGGCGAGGGCCTCCCTAAATTGCTGAGGTTAGAATTCCAGGTTTGGGATTACAGGTGCGCTCCAAGGCATCAGACTGGAAAAAATGGTTTCCACAGTCTTGTTCCACTCTGTGGGAGACCAACCTTGCACATGACTGAGTCACACTCCTTGGCTGGGTGATGAGGGGCTCAGTCACAGAAATGTGGCAGAGCTTTCCCACCCTTCTTGGAAGGTGTTTCAGTGTCTCCTGTATGGGTGTGTCTTGCTACAGCCCCATGAGTGAAGCTATGCTCACCTGTTCCTTTGTAATATAACCTGTTTAGGTTATATGGAAGTGCCTTGTGTCCCCTTCTCTTATAGTGCCCTTAGGTGTGGCCTACCCAGGTGTCAGTCAACCTGCTGACAGTGGACATCATGAAGCCCCTGAAACCTGACCCCTTGGCCTGATTTGAATAGCTTCTCAATAAAAGTGGTCAGCAGGTTCTCACTCTTCCTGTGTACACTGACCCTTAGAGCCATCATAGCCACCCCCAAAGAAAAAGGTATTTGTGTCTCTTGTGTGGTTATTTTGCACAGCCCAATTAGCCCAGTTTTCCTGGAGTAACCCTTAAACCTTATAGTCCGGAGAACAGAAACCTGGCACCATTCAGTAATGCCACAGATTTTCAATTTGTAAAAAATGCAATATCTATAAAGTACAGTAATGCAAAGAGAAGACATTGAGAAAAAAGAACCCTTGTGCACTGTGAGAAACTAAACTAATATAGCTATTACGAAAAACAATATACATGACTCAAAACACTGACCCAGCAATCTAAAGGGTATATATCCAAAGGAACTGGAATCAGTATGCCAAAGAAAATCTGCATTCTCACATTCACTGCAGAGTTATTCACAATAACTAAGATATAGATGTGAAGCAAGCCAGACATAGAATGACAAACACCACATAATCTCAATTCTATGTGGAATCTAAAAAAGGTAAACTCATGACCATATTGCACAATAAGAATAGTGAAACTTGGGGCTGGGTTGTGTTTGTGGTCCTGGGTTTGATTCTCAGCACCATGTAAATAAAATAAAGATATTGTGTACAACTATAACTAAAAAATAAATATTTTAAAAAAAGAATAGTGGAACTGGGCTGGGGCTGTAGCTGAGTGGTAGAGTGCTTGAGGCGCTGGGGTTGGTCCTCAGCATCCTATAAAAATCATAATAATGAAAACAGAGGGGAGTGTTCTTGGGAGGGAGTATTGAATACTGTTAGGCCTTAAAAAAACAAAATCCTGTCATTTGTGATAATAGGGATGGAGCTGTACCTCAAACTATGTGAAGCAAGCCAGACATAGAATGACAAATACCACATAATCTCAATTCTATATGGAATCTAAAAAAGGTAAACTCACAGAAACAGTATAAAATGGTAGTTGTCAGTGGGGTTAAGGTATATGGGGGTAGGGGTGTGTGTACACATCTGTAATCCCAACAGCTTGGGAGACTGAGGCAGGAGGATCGTGAATCCAGAGCCAGCCTCTGCAACTGTGAGGTGCTAAGTAACTTAGTGAGACCCTGTCTCTAAAAAAAAAAAAGTACATGGATACCAAAGAAGAGTTGGATTGACCATTCTGCACAATAAGAATAGTGGAACTAGGGCTGGGGTTGTAGCTGAGTGGTAGAGCGCTTGCCTCACATGCGTGAGGTGCTGGGGTTTGTTCTCAGCACCACATAAAAATAAACAAATAAAAATAAACATATATATATATATATATATGTAAAGAATAGTGGAAGTAAGGGGAGCTAATTCCTTTAAATAGAGTCTGTTGCTTTGCATTCACTAATCATCATTTTCATTTGTTCTTTTAAGCAATGTGTTCTTGGCACCACTGTGTAGAAAGTGAACTGGCATTTTAGATATAATCTAAAAAAATGCTTTGAACTGGATTTAATTTTCCATAAAGACAATGTTCACAATATTCTTGAAGAAATGGTGTTGGAGACTGACATATCAGACAAAATAGTGAAAAAATATTAACTTCGATTTTTTTCCTGTGTACAGGTCATATTTTTAGATAAGTGTGGTTAGTACTGGGGATTTGAACTGAGGGCCTTGCATATTCTAGAGAAGTGCTATACCATTCAGTTTCCAAATGGGCCATACTTTCTTATGCCTTTATGTGCCTTGCAATTGTGTATGTGTATGAAAACTGTTCATATAAACTACATAATGTTTTATCATTATAATGCAATTATTCTGGAAATAAAAATAAAATTCTCCCTCTCTCCAGTGTTTGTTCTTGGTGTCTTTTATGGGTTGCAGTTGCTTTGAACTGAAAGGTTACATTGTTTTCAGGTCTTTCTGGGCATGGATAACCCTAGTCATGCTCATGGGTCTTTTTTTCTCCAGTAGGTGCAGTAACTTTCCTAAACCTTTATTCACTCACATACCTCTTTCTCCATACTACTCTACTCTAGCTATATTGTTTTTAATTAGATTCCAGAGTACCAAATGGGATGATTCTGACAGTTTCTTCAGCTTCAGTGGTTGTTTCACTAGATGATCAGATCTTTGGATTATCCTGCTCTGTCATTCTTAACGATATTACTCCCTGCCCCCAACATTTAACTGAATTATGGAAATTTTTAATCATACAAAGATGAAAGAATATTATATTACACTTTGATATATTAAATGGACACTGGCACATATATATCATTAAGTGTTCAATATTTATTTAAAGTACTTTTAAATTTCATGCCAAGTATACATACAATGAATTGCCAAATTTGACATATTAACTCCCTACTTCTTTCTGATAAACTAGATAAATCTCTCCCAACATCCAGTTATACCCTTGAGGGATACCATAAATGTTGTGCGTGAGAATAAAGTTTGACTAATGTACCACTAATGAAGTTCACAGGATTTGGGCCTACTTAGAAGCCAAGGAATACGACTCAAATTTTTCATCTGATGATTCCGCACAAAATCCAATAGTGACTTGCAAACCTTCAGAGATCAGCATCGTACCAGTTAAGAAAATAATGTGTTCCATTTCTGTACAACTCAAGAGTATTCAAGGGTCCAAATCACCTTTGGTGATTTATCAATGGTTTTTTTAACTAACCCTGCTTTGCCAGCGCAGCAACTGAACCACAAAATCACTTACTTTGTGGGGCGACATAAAATACCACGCAGACATGGAATACCTTTTTATAAGCTTCAGGATGGCTACCCCAGCTCCTGGCCTCAGGCTCCCACAAGGGTGGAGTGTCTGTTCTGGAGATGGCTTCATTGAGGGATGCTGTTTCTTAGAACATTCTGTCCAAAAGAGAGTAGGATACAAAGAAACAGGTGAGTGCAACCCCACCGGGTGACGCGAACTGGAGCCAAGCCTCATTATCCGAGCAGAGTTATGACAGCCTCATGTAATTCTAGGAGACTATCCTAAAATATATCCACTAGTTTTAGACACCCTATGTTATACTGGAGATATATACAGTCTTTAATTTCTAGGGACCAACATGATTGGGCGGTTTAGGTTTCTCCTATGCTGTCTTTCCTCAAATGATACTCCCAGAGAACTTGTTTACCATAGGCTCACTTATAGGTATGACTAAAGAAAGTGGCAAAGCAAGCAAGGTAACACACACAGAAAAGTTCGATTTCAAGGTCTGGGATGGCTGTCCGATCTCGGGGGTCGGCTGTCTGAACTTAAGGGTCCATGGATCATTCTATCCCCCAAAGGGTAAAGGTGTAGGGTTATAAGGTATATATAGGATTACCTGAGTGGTGGTAAAGCCCCAAGTTATTCCTGGATGCTATAATTGTTCAGTATCTCTTGCTCAGGACTTTAGAAATACACACCCTTAAGTCTAGAGTGGCTCCTGACAGGACACTTCAAATGAAATACTTTTCTTTAACTCTTCACTTTATTCTGGTCTGGAAATTCTACTTTTCCTTCAGTTCAGATCCCACTTTTGCTTAGCTTATTGCAACCAGGACCAGGGAGGGATATATGCTTTGGATAGTTTCATGATGCCACCTGGTGGTTATATCAGGCAGTGTCTATAGCAGAGAGGGAGGGTCAGTAATTGGAATGGTCTGGATCTTTTTAAAAAGGAAATGTTGTGAGAGGTGGTGGTTGACACCAAAGGAATTCAAATTCAAAGACTGCCACAGTAACTTCCTTGACTCACATTTGTCTTTTATATGCTATTTGCTTGCCAGTTATTGGTTGCAGCAGGAATTTAGAATCAGTACAGTGCTTTTGATTGGTCCAAACAGATTATGTAAATTGAACATGAAACTCCAAAAGTAAGAAAGTATTTAAAGGCCAAAGAGTCAAAGTTTGAAAAGGACTAAGAGGTCCTACTACTACTGCTCTGAGCCTGTCCGTAGCACCTACACACTCCTAAGCACTTCCAATTTCCATCAGACCCCAAGGGACTATTGCAGGATCTCTCATACTTCCCTTAGTATGTTACCTACCAGAAGGGAAATGTTTACAAGATGTTTCTCATAACTTTTTGAACTCAAGAGTTTCGTGGTAGAGTTAGAAATCTGGTTGCAAGTTGGGGGCACATTAAAGCAGTATGTACCCATTTTACGGATGAGAAATGTTGAGGTTGTGATTTTTTGGACAGGAATTGAACCCTACTTGTGGTTTGAGTTCTTTGTAGTATGGTACTGTTTGGTTTGTTTTTATTTGTTTTTGATTTTTCATTTTCTTTGTTCATTTTAACTGATCATAGCTTCCGGAAGAAGTCAGACATTGAATATTTTAGGCCACTCCTCTAACACACCCTTCCCCCTCCACGTCACTGAATTCTTTTAGCTGTGTAATCCTGTGCTGCAGCCATGTTTGGTCTTCTCGGGAGTTTCCTACACGTATGTTTCTCTTTATTTGCGGGTTTAAGGACCATTTTAAGGTTCTAGACCACCCACTATGCGGGTACTTTGTGGGTATTTAAGAAAGAAAGATCGGAAATTGCATAAATTATTTTTTAGAAATTCCTTGCTTTGTTATGTTATTTTGTTGCCACCTTCTCCTTGTTTTTCAGATTCTCGACTTATTGTTAGGTCATTGCCGCGCAATTTCCGTTTTTTTTGTTACATCTTTTCTTTGGAATACTTTTGGTTGACTTTTTGGTTGACCTTTTTTGGACTGATTTGGTTTTCTACTCACCTTATGTTTAGCCCATCGGGGCCCCGGATACCTGGCATATTTTTTTTTCCCTTTGCCCAACCGGGCTGTGGATACCTGCCTTTTATTTTTATTTATTTACTTTTTAAAATGTGCCCTTGGGGACTGTGGATACCTACTCTTTATATGCGTATTTTTTATTTGCCCATCCGGGCTGCGGATACCTGCTGGGTCTGTCTCATCTGAAAGCCCGCCCATCCGGGGCTGCGGATTAGCCCATCGGGGCCTCGGATACCTGCTCTTATTTTTTTTTTCTTTTTGATTTGCCCATCGGGGCCTCGGATACCTGCTTTCTTTCTTTTTTTTTTTTCTTTTTGTATTTAATTTTGGTTGGCTCATCGGGGCCGCGGATACCTGCTTCCATTTTTGTTTTCATCTTCCATTGAGATGTTTTGGATCAAAATGTGCTGATGTTGTGGGTTATTGCAGTACCTGAATGATCCGGTTGTGTTGGTGTGTGAGCAGAACTTACCGCTTTAAGCGGGCATGCGGGCATGCTGGCTGTGGGCGCCATGTTGGCCTCCCTGCATGTGTGGGCAGAGGTCGAGTCAATTGTGCTAAATATATATGGAGGCAGAATGGATGCCCCACCCTACCCCCCTGCAGAGCAGTCATGTGCTTTGCACAAGGTATAAGGAGAGATTTTGGTGCTCAACCGTTCTGTAGGTGAAAGTGGAGGGCAAGGAAGCAGGGGCAGGGCTCAAAATGGCGGATTTGAAAATCGCTGCATTGTGTAGCTTGGCTTTGCCTTCTTGAACTGCACAAAATGGCGGATCCACTTTTTTCAAGTGGCGGGAAGGCCACGTGACATGGCAAGTCTTTGTTCTGAAGTAGCATGGTGGTGATTCATTTTGCTGTTGCAAAAGATGGCTAATAAAGCCTCTGCAAAAGTATAAAAATACTTCCGGTTTTGTTTTTGTCATGTGGATTTCAGGGTGGATTTTGCTGCAGGGGCTTACCTGGTTGCTAACAGGGAGTTTGTTACATTGTTGACATGGCAGGGTTTTGGTTGATACAATCTAAAGTGGTTTTTGCAGAGGTGGTCCTGCTTTGTTTCCTTATGCTGCCAGAGACAAAAGCCAGAGAGAAAAATGGTTTGGCAGTGCTGGATTGCTCCACGACCTAACCAATTGGAAATGCAAGTGGAATTTAATTGCACACAGCCAATTGAAGCATATGATTGAATTAGACTTGGGCAAAAGAATTGGAAAGGCTGTGCTGGTGGACCTTTCAAGGACACTTGTGTGTATCTCTCTACATAAGACCATGAGAGAGATACACTTATGCTCTTTGGCTCCATTTCAGCATTTGAAGTGTTGGAAAGAAATCAGGATGGGCAGGATGAATTCCTGTTTTATTGTGATGGCCAAAGGCTAATCTACTCCTTGGCCACTGAACTAACCTGCACTGTGGCCAGGTTTGTCTGGTGTGGACAAGGTCAAGGACCAAAATGGATCTTAGATGGTCATTGAGCAACAAGTGTTGGAAGAGAAACCCCTGCATTCCTCAACAGGAACCTACCTCATGGCTAATGCTGGGGTCAGATTTTGATTTCAGTGAGAAGTCTGTGTGGCTTGCTTGTGTTTGAATTTAAATAAGAAGTGAGTATTTAGAGGCTTCATTTGTAGATTCCATTTTACTTAGCTTTAATGAGTTTTCATTGTAGGTTCTTCAGAGTTTGCAGGTTCTCATATCATAATTTCCTAAAGAGACTCAAAGTCAGATTATTTGGCATTTAAAATATTTGCTGTTTTTTTTTAAACAATAGCTTAAAAACTACTTCCCTTAATTCTGTTGCATTGGACAGGAATAGTAAAAAAATTAAAAAGTTAAAGAAGAAGTGAGTATTTAGAGGCTTCATTTGTAGATTCCATTTTACTTAGCTTTAATGAGTTTTCATTGTAGGTTCTAGAGACTTTGCCAGTTCTCATATCATAATTTCCTAAAGAGATTCAAAGCCAGATTATTTGGCATTTAAAATATTTGCTGTTTTCTTTTTTTTTAAAAAAACAATAGCTTATAAACTAAGACTTCATTTGTAGATTTCATTTTAGTCAGATTATTTGGCATTTAAAATATTTGCTGTTTTTTTTTAAACAATAGCTTAAAAACTCCTTCCCTTAAATCTGTCGCATTGAACAGGAATAGTAAAAAACTTAAAAAGTTAAAACAAGTGAGTATTTAGAGGCTTCATTTGTAGATTTCATTTTACTCACATTATTTGGCATTTTAAAAATTTGGTTTTTTTTAAACAATAGCTTAAAAACTCCCTCCCTTAAATTTGTCGCATTGGACAGGAATAGTAAAAACCTTAAAAAGTTAAAAACAAGTGAGTATTTAGAGGCTTCATTTGTAGATTTCATTTTACTTACCTTTAATGAGTTTTCATTGTAGGTTCTTCAGAGTTTGCAGGTTCTCATATCATAATTTCCTAAAAAGATTCAAAGTCAGATTTTAATTTGCTGTTTTTCTAAAAAAAAGAATAGTAAAAAAGTTAAAAGGAGTATTTGCTCTTGTTCTCCGGGGCTCAGCAGTAGCACGCTCCCCGAGCACAGTATGCCTAGCACTATGCCTAGCACGTGGTTAGACTACTTGGCGATCTGCTGGGGCAGTTGGGACAGGCGGACAGGCGCTCTCGAAGCTCTGCTCGCCAGGCTCCAGGGCACTGCCCTGGGCCCTCAGTTTCCGGCCCTCTGTTTCCAATCCTCAGAAGCAGGTGATAAAAAGTTTAAAAAAAAAATAAACAAAAAAGAAGGTCTACACTAGGACAGGCCTTGATTCTTCCCATTCATGATGCTGCACTAATTAATAACTATCTGGCAGAAAATTAGAGCATTAATGCCCACATTTCCATCTTCTGTGGTTTTCTGCTGACCCAACTCGTCCCCACCCTGCTGCCAGCTATACCTAGTCCTACCCTATTGCCACTGCCATTTAACAGAACTCGCGAACTGGCGAGCCCGTGAGCTGGCGGGCAGACTGGTGTGAGGCCGCCACAACCCCAACCTATATACAGCCCCAGGCCCCGCCCCAGTTCCGGCCCTCAGGAAGTCCCAACCCCCAAATCTCCCAACTCCCTTCCGGCCAGACCCCCATATCTCCCTAGTCCCTTCCGGCCGGACCCCACACAGCCCCCGACCCCCCACAGCCCCTGTCCATGTCCCCGCCCCGCCCCGCCCCAGCCCCAGGCCCAGCCCCCTTCCCCCCAGGCCCAACCCCCAGCCCCCCCAACCCCCACCCCCCCAGGCCCAGCCCCTGCCCCTGCCCCTGCCCCTTCCCCAGGACCTCGATCTCCCAACCCCAGCCTTTCTGCTGTAAAGCAACCTCCATCTTCATGGATTGAGCTGGGCGCGCCATTATTCATTTTGTTAAGACTGAGACCCTCTACCCTAGCAGTATTCATTTTCAGTGCTGACTGCCCCTGTCACGAACTTGATGCACCCAGTCCCCTTTGTCCACTGGTCCCATAACAAAGAGTCCCTGACCCTATAAAGATGGGAAATGTTAATTAATTAATCAAGAGCTTCATATCAGAGAATGATTGCCCATAATTGAAGTTACTCCTCATCTTCTCAGTCCTGTATGTTAAGGAAGGAGAAAATATTGTTGAGATTGCCCCAGTAGTCACAGTCTCATTCTCAAACCACCTTTCCTTGGAATATTAATGGGTATGGTCATAATTGTTCTTGGTCTTACCTAAAAGAGCCACCTATACTCTTTTCATTGCTGGTTCGTTGAGCAGACTACCAAATACATTGCATTGATCGGTAAGATACATAAAACCATCATTGCCTCTGCTCCTATATGTTTGTTTAAGATGTCCCCTCTTGATGCCATTACTGCTGAGGAGTAACAGTCTATCTGGGGTGTAGCACAATGAAAGTGGATTCCCATCCCATTCAATTTTCTGGGATACTGCTAGAAAGGGCAGATTATTAAAAGCACAGCTCTTTCGCAGTTAACTAATTTACACAGCTGTAGTTTTCCAGAGCCTTGTCCATTGGAAAGGACCACTGTGTCCTCCTTGTACACTGTAACATGTGCTGTTCACCTCCAGTGCTCTTCTCTTCAATCCATGATGTCCATCACTACATTTGTGCACTAGCTCTGTCTACTCCCTTTATTTCAGCAGGGGATTCTTACTACTCAAGACCTCTGTACTAGGACAGTTTATGTGCAGGATCCTAATTGATTATAACAAAATCTTTGATATTAAGATCTCTGCACCATCTTTGCTTAAATCAAGAGGGTGCTGATTACCTAAAGCCCCTTCTGAAAGTATTATACAAAACTGCAGTTTTCTGTAAATTCGGGATCCCATCCTCTCAGGCTCCCTCTGAATTACTGCAGGGGCCACTTTGGACTGAAAAAGTGCCCAATTAAAATTGTGGTTCCCTAAACTAAAGATTCCATCTCCTCACACCCTATTAGCATTGGGGCAGAGAGTGGAACTAGTAAGTGAATGGGTTTTTCCCTCTTCCTGTGCACGGAACAAATTTCTGGAATTCAGCAGTGGAAGACCTACCTTGAGACCTTTGCATTAGAATAGATAATGTGAACCATGGTAACTGACCACAGTTATGTCTTTCTGATCAAAGTTAATTTTTTACCTTTGCCAGGACTATGAATTGGCAAAATTCCAATGCTAATGGCCCCACCCTTTAATTCCTCACTTCCTTTATATTTAAAGGAAGGAATGGAAGGACCCTTTTCTTGGGTCTGCTAATTTATTTCCAGTTGATCCTGGTCTGTTCCAGTAAGCTAAAGTCTGGACTTCTGGGATTTATTATATAGCAGGGGCTGTGAGGACCAGAAGTCTTTCTGTTAGAATATGAAAGAGCAAAACTGCACTAGGGCCCTATTCAATTATACCTCATTGGCATAACAGCAGGGAGTGTTTTTATACTACTTAAATGGGCATAATTAACAGTATTCTATGCCTCCAATGTTAGAGTAAGATTCCATTTCTTTGCTTCATGGCATCACTGTGGGGGGGCTTCTAAGTAGCCAAGATTTACTCTATTAAATATTCATACTTAATTTGGTTCCAGTAATATGCACCAGGTAAAAACCCCAATACTATTTACATTGCAGCTGGAGGTGTCTACTACATAAGACCCTTAAACTAGCACAGTTAATGTGTACAGTCTTCGTTGTTCTGTACACATTCCCAGATGTCCAAAACTGTGCCTTTTGGATCAGGGTGCTGACCAACATAAAGCCCATGTCCTGAGACTATAGATATATGTATATGGTCCTTCAAGTTACCTTTCTTTCTGTGACCCTTCACACCTTCTTTGGCTTACTACATAAGGTACTGTTCACTTGAGGACCATTTTCAAAAACTATTAATGTACATAATGAAAATTGCCTTAGGATCCTTCCCTTTTATACTTTCTTTTAAGTACAGCAGTGATGTTGGTCATTAAGGCTCCATTTTGTGGCCTGCTGGTATGCATAACTGGATTTGTCCAGGTTTCTATGGACTAGAGCAGGAAGCCACTCTGGAAGTTTCTGCCATTCCCTTTCAGCAGGGAGTGCCCACTGCAGAAGATCCCTATATTTGAACAGTCAAGGTGTACATATTTGTAATAACTGCATCTTTGACTTTAATGTACAAACAGTATGTGGCTCATCCCATATGAATAAGATCTTACTCTTAGACCCCTTTGCAGTACAGTGGGGGTGTTTATCTCTAATGCCCCTATTTGTGGGCTTTTATGTGGATGATTATGCTTGTCCATGTTCTTGTATACTAGATGAGGAAACCTTCCCCACTCTGCCCTTCTCCCTCCTCCTTTCCCTTCTAGTAGAAATGACTACTCCCTAAGATCTTTATATTTGCACCGTCAGGGTGCACAACTATACTAACCAGTCATGCACCTTTATGACATTAAGGTGCATAACTCCATGTGGTTCATCCCATTTGAATAAGATCCTACTCTCAGACCCCTTTTGCAGTAAATCAAGGGGTGCTGATCTCTAAGGCCCCTATATGGCCTTGGCCTGTTATATAGGGCCTTGGCCTGTTATATGAGTGATGATATTTTCTGGGTTTCTGTATCCCAGACAAGCCTTCTTCCCCCAATTTCTATCTTCCTTCCACTCGTGAAGATCACTCCATAAAATCCTTGTATTTGGACAGTCAAGGTGTACAACTGTAATAACCAAACCATGGACCTGAACCATGAATATTACTACACTTGGTTTATCCATTTCAATAAGATCATACTCTCAGACGCCTTTTGCAATACAGCAAGGGGTGCTGGTCTCTAAGGCCCCTATTCTTGGCCTGTTATATGGGTGATATTTCTCTGGGTTTCTGTGTCCCAGACAAATCTTCTCCCAACAGTTCCTACTCTGTTGGGCTGGGCGTGTAGCTCAGTGGCACAGTGCTTGCCTAGCACATGTGAGGCACTAGGTTCAATCCTCAGTGCCACACAATAAATAAAGGTATAAAGAATATTCTACTCTCAGACACTTTTTGTCATAGAGCAGGGGTGCTGATTTCCAAGGCCTTTATTCTTGGCCTGCTTTGTGGGTGTTTATACTTGTCTAGATTCCTGTGAATTACACAAGGGAACCAACTTTACCTTCCCTGCCTATCCCTCCTTTCCCTTCCATCTGCCTTTTCCTGCTAACAGGGAGTAGCCCCTCCATAATACCCTTAGATGTGGAGAATCAAGGTGCACAATTATACTAAGCAGTCCTGCACCTTTGACATTAATGTGCATAACTGCACTTGGCTCATCCTTTGAATAAGATCCTACTCTCAGACCCTCTTGCAGTACAGCAGTAGTACTGATCACTGAGACTTCTCCTCCTGGCCTCCTCATGTTACTGGATAGTCTTCCCCTCAGTCTCTTTGCTTATCAGGAAGGAGTGTCTATTACTTTAAAATCTTTGTGTAAAGTATGTAGTTTTGATTTATCACAACTACGTCCCTTGGGCATTAATATACATAATTGTGGCATGGTTCATCATATTTAACAAAGGTCCTACTCTTATACCATCAATTTGCATATACCAAAGTTTCTGACCTCTGGGGTCTCCTTTCTTGGCCTGTTAATACACAGAATTGCATTTTACTGGGTTCTTGGGCACTAGAGAAGGATACCTCAACCTCTGACTTCTCGGCCTTTTAATAAGTGATACCCACTGCTTAAGACCTCTACACCTGGACAGTTAATGGGCATACATGCAGTTGTCCACAACCCTATTACATCTAGGACCATTGTACTCCCTTTGCTCTTTTTAAGGGGATACTCCACTGCGCCTCCTAGTGGACCATTAATAGACGTAATTGAATTTTATTTTTTGTCTTTGTAGACCCATTTACCTATCCTTTGCAGTACAGAAGGGCCTGCTGATCAAGCAAGGTCCTTTTCCTTTGGACCTTTAATATGTATAATTGCATTTGCTACTGTTCTGTGCACTAGAAAGGGATCCCACATACTTCCTTGGCACTTTTAGCCAAAAGCAAGTATCCACTACTTGACTCTGTCTTAGAAAGTTCCCATGCACAAAGAAAATGCTCTATCTATGCAGTCTTATGTAGAACCCTTGTGCTCTCCTTGCTTTAGAGCAGAGAGATACTTTTATTCAGTCCCACTTCATCTGGACCTCAGCGTATGTTAATACTAGGATTTCATCTCCTCATATCCCCTTTGCATCAGGGAGACATTTACTATGAATGAGCTCTTCTCTTGCAAATATTAACGTACATAATTATGTCTGTTTGCGGACTTGTGTAGTAGAAAGGACCTTAAGTTCTTATTACTACCTTCTGATTGCTGCTGAGGCATACTGTTCATAACCAAGTCTTGCATAATTAAATGTGCAATGATAACAAAAACATCAACAACAACAACAATAATAATAATAGAGAAAGTACTGATTATTAGGTAAGACCACGGCACCATCATTATATACATTAGTGGTGCTGACCAACTAAGGTCCTTTGGACCTTCAATGTGAATATTTGCAATTATACACGGGTAGAATCCTATGTTCTTACACCCCCTTTGCATTACTGCAGGGGGCTGCTGACCACCCAAAATGTCTACTGAGACTGTTATGGGCACAATGGAAATTATTAATGTTTTTTTTTTTTTTTCCTTCCCTGAAACTTATCTGGGGACTGTTAAGAAGCACAATGGCAATCATCACTAGTTATATTTCCTCCCTGGCCTTGTTAAGCAAGCACCCTGACCCCAGTGACCCATAGCATAATAAAGTATAAACATCACAGTATGCCATGTACTTGTACATCAAACAGTGAATGGCCCATACTTCCACTCCTGTTACCTTAAAACATGAAATCCCAAGTAACCATGGACTTACTCTTCATACAAGCCCCGCCTCCTGTCTGCCCCTAGACCCATCTTATGGACTACTAATGCTCACAGTCCAGCCCTTAGATAAGATTGTGCTCCCTTTCTCCCCATTACCCTCCTCTGCCCAGTTCACTTCTTTACTGAGTAATGTTGACTGGGCAAGGCCCTCTCTCTTAACAATTCCAGATATCCTTGGCCTACCCACTTCAGTTGCAATTTCCTTGGTCCTGCCCATTAGACCCAGAGCCCTCCCACTTCCTTTGCATTGCTTCTGAGTAGTGCTAATTATCCAATGTCCCTTCTGTGTCCTTAAAGAACACAGGACTGATTGTCCCAATTTTCTCCCCATCAGTCCAAGATCTTGCTACCATTTGATACATTTGTGCAGCACTATTAAAATCAGGCCTGAACTAGGTGGATGAGCCTTCACCTCCCCCGGCCCCAGCATTTGTTAATTATCACAATTCCAATTATGGGCACATTCTGGGGATAAGAACCCCTCCTGCCCATCTTTGTTACTTCTTTACTGTGTAAAATATTCAAGAAAAATCAGGCTCAGGGAGCTGGATTGCCACTCTTGATATAGGGTTTTCATTATATAGTAATAATTGAAAATTGTCTCCCTAGGAAGGAAGATTAACATTGCTCTACATTCTTCCTTCCAGAGCAAATTTCCTGGTTAATAAATCTCCTTGCTGGGAGCAGTGGCACATGCCTGTAATCCCAGCGATGCAAGAGGCTGAGGCAGGAAGATTGAAAATTCCAGGCCAGCCTGGACAACTTAGTGAGACCCTATTTCAGAATTAAAAAAAAAAAAAATCAATAAAAAGGGCTGGGATATAGCTCAGTGGTAGAGTACCCCTGGGGTTCAATCCCCAGCATTGCAAAACAAAGCAAACAAACCAGAAAACAACAACAAAAAAACCCCAACAACACCCATATTCTCTTTTTTATGTGGCAGTTGTACAATGCTAATTGCCAAGATATGATCAGAAAGTTGCTGTTAATTTTCTTAAAAAAAAAAATTTAAAGACAGACATTTGGAATTGCAAGGTGGAATTGATTACCTGGCCCTTAATTATTTTGAAGCCAAGAATCCACTTATACGATGTACCCAAAGATCAGTGTCTCTCATTTTACTCAGAGTGATGAGTCTGTGGACAGACCACTTTGACTCTTTGCTATTTTAGTATTTAAAAAGGAGTACCAGAATACAACTCTTAAGACCAGTATCATTCTTACTACCATTTTAAAGCCAATCTTTGGGCTTTAGCACCATGCACTTTTACGAAAACTACCTAAGCCTTCTAATTCTTAAATTTCTTCATCTTGAGCACCAGCTCAGGATTGCCATAGAAGGATTAAATAAGAGGACATGTGCTGAGGAGCTTTTGAAAATTAAAGGCCACTTCATTAGATTATTATATAAAATGCACTGTTTAATTCTGCTAGTAATTTAAAGTAGTTTGAAAAAGCACCCTAGAGTGAGGACTTATCTTAGAAATGAGGGGCCCTGTTTCCCCATCTTACAAGAAAAATAAGCCAAGATCTAATCATTTTTCTGAGCATAAACTTCAACAGTGAGATGGCTGCCTAGTAAAAACAATATCCCAGCCTCTAGTATACAGAGTGGTGACTAAATATATTAATATGAAACTTTTGAAACTAGTCATCACAACAGCAGTTCCTCCTAGTCACTGATAAAGAATACTATTACTCTGAGAAGGATGTCAAAAGATCTGCCCATGTGAGTGCAGTTTGCACTACGACCTCTTTGGACAGCTGTAAGAAGAGATTCTGGCTGTTTACAATACTGTAAGTACTGCTTTGTATCTATTAAAATAATCATTTCCCTATTCTATTTTCTTTCTCTTAAATGCTACCCTATAGAAAAGTCAGGGTCTAATAAGCCTCTTTTCTACTTCTCAAGTCACCTTGTATGTATGTGTGTGTGTGTATATATATATATCTTTATACACAATGAAAATATATTCTTTCACATAAAATTTGATTTCTTTTTTTTTCTTTTTTGTGGTGTGTGAGCTCCATCCACCCATCCTAATAACACTGGCTGACTGGGGATAACGTACATACACACACACACATACAGATAAGTAAGTAAATAATAAAATAGTCTTGATTTTTTTTTTTTTTTTAAACATGGTCTCTGCCATTGTTTGTCAGACTCAAGCCATGCTTCAGAAAGAAATACCATGTACTAGAGCAGGAAGCCACTCTGGAAGTTTCTGCCATTCCCTTTCAGCAGGGAGTGCCCACTGCAGAAGATCCCTATATTTGAACAGTCAAGGTGTACATATTTGTAATAACTGCTTCTTTGACTTTAATGTACATAACAGTATGTGGCTCATCCCATATGAATAAGATCTTACTCTTAGACCCCTTTGCAGTATAGTGGGGGTGTTTATCTCTAATGCCCCTATTTGTGGCTTTTATGTGGATGATTATGCTTGTCCATGTTCTTGTGTACTAGATGAGGAAACCTTCCCCACCCTGCCCTTAAAGGAGCAAAATTTCCTGAAATCCTAAAGAATGTGTCTGATGGAACACTGACTTAAGAAAGTTCTTTAAAATGTAAACATGTTTTCATATTTCAACTTACCATTATTAAAAACATGTTTCATACAACTCATACAGAACTTGGGGATCCATGAGAATAGAGCCACAACCGCCCCCAAAAAAGAATATAGCCACAAACTCCAGAGTTCTTATCACCCCAATTTGAGAAACACTGGTCTAGGCTTATGAAATATTTTTAATTGGAAATAATCAAATTAACTATCAGTGGAATTTGTTTCAAAGGAATGAATTTGGAGCTGGTTCTGTACGTGACTCAAGAGGAAGAATAACTCCTTTTATATGGCCACATTGATGACTGCTAGAGAACATCGAAAGGTAAATCTTGGAGTTGTATTCCAATTCATTGCTTGAAATAATCTCTGCCCCTAAGAAAAATCTCTAGCAACTGTAAGAAGGGATGTTCTAAAAATGTAGCCATCCTCAATCTTGAGATAATCCTTGTTTTATTTTAATAGATATTCATTGTGCCAAGCACTGGAATGAATAACAAAACCAAAGAGAAGGCACAAATGAGCAAATCATTATGGAAGTTCTGTGGAGCATAGAAGATAACAGAGGAGTCTCAAAATTCTCATCAATGAATATTGAACCCTAGTGAAATGTTTAGTTCTGTACCAGTTCCAGAATGTAACCACTTTCTCTGGCCTCACATTCCCCCTTAGGGGGAAGGGAATGGTCCTGAACTGTCATTACTATAGTAACAAACAAAACAAGGGGGCTTTGATGCTCAAGCGGTACTACATTGGCAACCCAACAAAACAGCAAGGTATTTTAGACATGATAGTGCTAATAGTAACCTACTAGTTGTACTGCAGTGAGGGAGAAAGTCAGAATATGGGAGGAAACCAATATTTGTTTCCTTCCAGAAACCATAAGTACATAGTGCATAAATGAATTTCAGCTGGGATCCATTAATCCTACTCTCATTAGTGGGGAACTAGAAAGTACAGATAGGTATGTCTAATGCTTCATGTTATACTTCCTAGTCCCCCCACCCCTGCCTTTTTTACTTAAAACCAGTTTTGGTAGCCTACTGAGCCCTTTCTTTCTTCTCAAGGACATTCAGAGCATGTGAGATTTGAGGACTGCAAGCAGCTTAAAGAAGCTACACATTCAGCAGACCTTCCCTTTTGAGAGTCTGGACAAGCACCAGGTAACCTGGGCAGAGAGCTTGCAGGCCACCTGAAGAAAAAGTTAGGGGAATTTATCATTGGTAGATTTCTGCTTCGGGTTTAAGGGCTTTCACTTTCTGCAGCTCTTTGTATAAAAAACGGCACAGGAGCCACTTTTCATCAGCTCCTAGTTGGCCAATGAGGTAGATGCCTTCAGATTAAAAGGCTTTTAAATTATTATTAAAATTAAACTATTATTAAAAGGCTTTTGAATTATTCCCATCTTCCTTTGGGCCAACCAGTGTTAAATTCTCAGGAGTTGCCTATGAATAGGATCAATTTGATCTGTATCAGATCTGTTCCCCAGCAGGCCTATTTGATTCCCTTGTCACTGCCACACCCTCCTTTTAAGAAGCTGGGGGTTTCTTAAAAGAGGTGAACATTGCAAAGCTAGAAGATAGGCAGGCACTTTGATAGGTGTGGGTTACTCAATCTTAATAATAGTGCCTTATCTAAGTGGCTTCATCTCTTGGTTGAGAAAGCCTTGGCTTCTCCTTCCATTGGTTTCAACTTTTAAATTTCTTGACCTCCATTATATTTCCAATGAGAACACAAACAAGAGCATTTACCACTCACATTCCAGAGGATTGCTCATTAGTAGACACTAGAGAATAAAGCAGAGTCTGTGAATTTGATAATTATTCAGCTCTAGATTGCTCTTGGAAATGAGGGGAAGTATGCAGAATAGTGTTGGGATAAATAGAACAATTCTCATGCTGCTAGACTGATCAATCCAGGGAGATAAAGAGCTCTAAACAGCTGGAAGTGTTCATCCTTCAATCTGTACAAAGAAAAGGGTAGACATGGTTTAACTCAGTTGCTAGTTATCAATCAGGACAGACTTTCTCAGTCTACTTGATTTTAATAATTTCTTTTTTTTTCTTCTCTAGATGTTCCTCAGAAGAACAGGCTTGTTGCTTTGCAGTGTTAGTGACCTTTTCCCTTTGACGATCCCCAGGTGGAGATGGGGCATGAGGATCCTCCAGGGGAAAAGTTCACTGCCACTGGGCAACAACCCTGGGTCAGGAGATTTTACTAAGATTCTTTCCTGGGTCCAGATAGGAGGGTGAAGACTCAAAGACAACCACCGCACATCAAGATGGTAAGCTATCCCTCAAAGCATAATATTCTTAATTTTGATCTTGTTTTTCTCAAAAACAGTGAAGTTAGCTTTTCACAGAAGTTGTATTCATTTCCCTGCTGTGGTACAAACAGCTTCCTAACTAACCCGGGAGGCAACAGTGTGTCAGACTGGTGAAAGTAATGAGGTGAAGAAGTTACCATGCTGCATGAACCAGTTTAGGATAGAACTGCAGGATGTGGAAGAGGCCTACAATTAAATTTTCAAATTGGTCTTTCTTTTAGGAGAACATGGACAGCAACTACCACTGCAACAACACTGATCTCCTAAGCAAATCATTCTGTTCCATGTGGTCCTCAAAATCTCCTTTGAAGCTTTACAGGGGAACTGTGCCAGGCATTCACAGACTTCAAGATGCCTTGGGATATCCATGGGATGTAACATACAATTAGCGGTTTGAGAAGATAAAAGAGAACTGTATCTCTGTATGCTATGCATGCGGATTGGCAGAAGACTCATAAGTACAACTGGAAACCTGACCAAAAATGGTATAGGTTATCTCACATTGGGCAGCATCTACAGAACCAGGACCCTACACTCTCTAGGTCAGTAGATGGATAGGAAGGTTTAAGGGGAAGGGTTGGGAGATGAAGGTCACCATTCAGTACAGTAATCCTAATGGTAGAGGCGTTGTCCAGCATTATTCATAAAGAGTGGGTACCCTATAAATTCAATGAGATGTTTTCATGGAAGGAGCCCTTGAAATGTTATAATTGAGTAGAAAAACCCAAGGATTTAGAAATAGAGAAAGTTACTAGCAACTTCTTAGAAAGCCTAGGAAGATCTATCTATTACACTCAGAATCCTTAGGGCCAGTACCCTATACTCATCTTTTTTATTGGGAGAGTGTGAGTCCCAGAGTGACTCATCTTTATCTCAGAGATCAATGTCATGAGTTTTTGAAATATTGCTCTATTGCTTTGTATTGGTAGTCCTGAGCCAAGATACTTTAACACAACTAATTTGGCCCTTCAATTTTTAGACCCTATTCTCTTTTTATCTCTATCTTTTTGTGATCTTAGTTATGAATCACTGGGACACCTTCCTAGCTGATTCTCATTCTAAACAGGATTGTAGTCTTCAATTAAAGAGACAAGGCTATGACTAATGATAGTGTCTCCAATGACTCATAAGGTGATGGTGGACAAGACATTTTCCCATTTCCTCTTCTGTATTAGTTTTGTCCTAAAGGGCCTAAAAGCTTAAACTTCATGAGTTTCTAAACTCTGTGAATACATTTTTTATAGTTCACAAATATGAATCTTCCATAACTGTAGCACAGTTATGCTTCTTCTATGACATTTACATGGTCTCTTTCTCTCTCTCTTTTTTTTTAAGCTCTCGATTGATAATATCTGACAAACCATTATCCTTCCGAAAAGCAGTACAGAGAGCTGGATCATCATCAGGATTAAGAAATGAGAACACATCAAAGGGAGCCAAGTTTTCTACCTGAAGATCAACATGCCTGACACTAGCATTTCAGAATAGCAGAATTAAGTAAGCTGTTGGGGTTGCAATCCTGTAAGTATTGCCCCAGAATGAACGGCTGTTTGCAGGGAATTCATATTGGGCCGAATCTGAGATGGGAAGATGACCAGTGTCCTATATTACCAACTGAATTCACTGTTAACTACTTACCAGTTGGATCACAGAGAGAGATTTAGCCTCTACTTGCCTTATTGTATATCTTCAATGTTCAGGTGTTCTGCCATTCTTAATGGTTTAAATATTGAAAAGCCTAAAAGACAGGTAATGCTTTCTGATGAAAGCTTGGCCCTTTCTCATTTCCATTTGGGAGAGAATCTGAGTTAAGATTTAGTCTAAAGAGAAACTTGGGTAACATGCAGTGTCCCACGCCTATACGTCCAGTGGCCCTGGAGGCTGAGGCAGGAGAATCTTAAGTTGTAAGCCAGCCTCACCAACTAAAGGAGACCTTGTCTCAAAACAAAAAGGGGATGTAGCTCAGTGATTAAGCGTTCCTGGGTTCAATCCCTAATACCAAAGGAAAAGAAAAAAATAAAAGAAAAAGACAGATTTGGAAGCATCTATTGTCATTGTGAAGGATATGAGAAGCCTGTTTTCTAAATGGATGGGGAAAGGTGAAGCTATAAAATGAAAGGATTTTGCGCTATCCAAGGGCCCTTTATGAAAATATTCACTCATCTGTGACATCTTCTTTGGTTCTTAGGGAAATCTTAGCAAATAGTTAATTGTAGCAGAATGCTAAGAGGGACATTCTGTTTAAGTCCTTTCTGCTACTTTAAGAGTATGACCACTGGCAATTGAGAGTCTTTGATTAGATTTCTCTGTTTGCTAGGGTTAAAGAAATTATGAATGTGAAGTACTTAGAGTACAATGACGGGCCGATGGCAAATAAAAATTAATGCCAATAGTTTCACAGATTCCTTTTACACAATATAAGTGACCACTAGCACTCTGTGGACAGGCAGAGTTGGCATGTTTTGGTTCTATGTAAGAAATCCTTAAACTAACAGACTTATTATTATTGTTAGTAGTAATATAAGTAGCACTGGTACAAAGAATTGCTTTTCATAATTAACAGCACCTTTCCTTTTTTTTTTTAAATTTTGTGCCTCTTGTGTCCCTCGCTGTGTCTCGTCTCTAGTCCTTCTTAGTCTCCTCCTGTGATGGTCTGCCTTTGTTTATCTCTTTCGCTCCTAAGTGTGCATTTCTTTGCTTGTCTATTTCTTCCTTGCTCTTTCTTCTCTAACTCGAGTTGTGTCTGAATCAGCTCCATGTTTCTCTTGCTGATTTCTTCTGTGTGTGCCTTGTCTCACTTTCTTTTTTTGTTCCTAAGTGTGGTCTGTGCACTGTCTTAAATGGATCTCTCTAGTTTTTGTTTGCTTGCTATTGCTCTTCGCTCGCTATTGCTCTTCGCTCTCCTAGATCTCTCTCTCTCTCTCTCTTTCTTTTTCTTCCTTTTTTCCTCTTTGAGGTCATATGCTTTGTGCTTTTTTGCCCTTTTCTTATTGTGCCTACCTTGCTTTTTGTCTTGGTGCACTATGTATTTGTCTTTTTGTCTTGGTGCACTTGGTATTTGTTACCTTCTCTCCTTTTTGTAAGTTGGACAATTCACCTTTTTCTGATTCTGGTGTCCATTCTGCTCCTTATCTCACATTTCTCTTTGTTATATTTCCTCTCTGCCTCTCTAGTGCTATTTTCTCCCTTTTCGCTCCTGTGTATACCTCAGTGTCTCTTTGTTTGTGATTTTCTATTTCAGCATTACTCTGTTTGCTTGTGTGTCCTCTCTACTTTTTCCTTTTCTACTCATCTTTTTCATCTTTTGAGTATTTCAGCCTCTTTGTGAGTCTATGTTTCCCTCTCTCTGACTTCATGTAATCCTCTCTTGGCTATTTCTTTGTGTATACGGGCTATGTGCATATGTGTGCATGCTTCCTATGTGTGGCAGAGGGGCTTCCTAACCCTTTCCCAATAGGTTCAGAATGTCAGCTATCAAAATCAGCATTGCAGAGCTGTTCCTTGTGCCAAGCTGCCCTGTGAGATGATCCAATACCAAAATATGGTCCTGGAATCCAGACTGAAGTTAAAACCCAAAACCTAAGATGGACAAAAGGTAGAAGCCCCAAAGTGGAAGACAGGTGGTTTGAAACTTGAGACTCAGGACTAAGATGAAAAGCCCATGTCTCAAGATAGATGGAAGTCTCAAGTCTGACATAAGACCAAGGTCTTAGGTTTGAGGATTTAAGACCCACGGGTGGAAGACCCCACACCCAAATAAGAGCAAGGATTCAAGCCTCCTTACATGGACGGAAGGCCTAAGAGAAACAGATCCCTCAAGAATAAAACCTGGAAACTGGAGGTTCCAGGTTTCTGATCTGGAACTCAGGAAGGACAGAAACCTCAACACTGGGGAAATACCAAGATGAGGACCCTAAACCACAAATCTTTTTCTATTGCTATTCTGCCCACTATTGGGACATTTTCAATAATCCCCCTTCCAGATATCTTATTTGCATGAAAGCCTGATTCTTTTGAGATGTACTTTTTGATGTTGCCATTTACCTTAAAGGAACATATCTTTAGAGTGACAATATTATGCATAGGCCAATCTTGAGCCCATTTTGAAGCCATTCATTAAGATTTAAACCTCCATTTCTCTTCACATCTACTTCCAGTCAATATGTAGTCTGCCTTTTGTTACATCATTCAGTAGAAAGCTTCCATATGGACACTATATTTCAGTTCTCCTTAACTCAGAAGCCTTAGTTTGATGAGAAAAGGGAGAGAAACTGCAAGGCTATTTAGAGAGGACACCCAGATGTGACAGCCTTCTGAGAACTACCAGCCAGCATCACCTTCCTGCTTTGACCTTGGGTGAGCAGGATTCCTGGGGTTTGGAATTTCTAGTAATATCTTCGAAAGGGGTGATTAGGCCTGAGACAGAGTGAGATCTGAACTCCCTACTCATAGTAGTGGCCAAAGAATTTGGTGGACTCTGTCAAACCTACTCCTGGGTTTGACCTATACCTCTAGTCTTAAAGATGAGAGAATTTGGAACTATTTAATCTTCTCCTTGACCCCTCTCCCTTTTATGAGGTGAACTGATTTAAATGATTGATAATACGTACGAATGCACTGTAATTCACAAGACAAAAAAGGCTGTACGCATTCATAATGGACTGGCAATCATGCACAGCTGATATTTCAAAGTACAATGTTAAGTGGTAAAGCATTGTGTAAATCGGGTCATTATGATTTTTCTGTAAGGGGTCTAATTGTGAATATTTTAGATTTCATGGGCCTCTTCTATATTCCTTAAAATGTAAGAACCATTCTTAGCTTGCAGGTCAAGTGGATTTGGCCTGCTAGCCCATAGTTTACCAATTTCTGATGCAAATGCCTGAGAACATGTCTGAATAATATTAATTTCCTTCTCTATGCCTATCCCTGTGCTACTAAGTATGCAGGGGCTTATTCATGATCACATCCAGGTGACATGAAGAAAAAAATAAGAATGTGCCTTGTAAACTATTAAGCACATGAGAACTTTAAGTTTCCGTGTTGATGAATTAATGTTCATTACTTATTATATGCATTCTACATGAGATGCACCGTAGATACAAAGATTAAAAGAAACCAGGAACGGTGGCTTATACCTGTAATCCCAGCTCTTTAGGACGCTGAGACAGGTGGATCATAAGTTCCAGGCCAGCCTCAGCAACTTAGTGAGACCCTGTCTCAAAATAAAAAGACAAGCTGGGGATGAATAAACAAGTGCTTTGTCAAAAGAATACAATACTACGTAGACATAATAAGTTTTCAATAAACGAATAATTTGAATATCAGGTCAATGTGTTTCCACTGCTTTGATGATTCTGAATAAAAATATAGTACTTCAGAGAACAGAAAAAACACGGAAACTCCTCTTAATCTACAAAATATACTCCAAATACAAGTGATTAATAAATTGTCATCACCAACCAGGTGATGATCCCAGTGGCTCAGAAGGCTGAGGCAGGAAGATTACAAGTTCAAAGCCAGCCTTAGCAACTGAGACCCTGTCCCTAAATAAATAAATAGACAGACGGACAAATAAATAAATAAAAACGGCTGGGGATGTGGCTCAGTGGTTAAGTGACCCTGGATTCAATCCCCAGTACCAAGAAATTGTCCTTACCTAAAATGTACCAAGAACTCTAGTTGTGTTCCAAAACACACTTAATATGATTTGGAGGTGTAATAAAAAAACTATAAATGAACGGATAACTCTTTGTATCAAAGATACCAAAGTAGGACAAAATATATTTTCGCTGAACTAAAATTTTCATAAAGGAAGTGCATATTAAAGTCCTCTGTAAACTGAAGCACTATGCAAATATTAATAGGCTACCTGTTTATGAATATGAACTGCCTCTTCCATACTAGCTATTGTTTTCGGTCCATGGTATCCATGATTAATTCTCACATGTAATAAGGGGAACATTAATGCTCTATGCTATTCAAGTATGAGAAATGAGATGATACTTAATTTACTATTGAGGTCATCTTAAACTAATGCCAGTCTATTTTCCCAGGTTAGAGGAAAGGCTAATGAATATGAGTGCATTCTTTAAACTATAAAGCACTCTGAAAAGAAGACAATAGATGGTTTCTATATGAATGAAACAACTTATTTATAAAATAAGCATTGTCTTTACAAAATTCTCATTGTGTACGCTTGACCCACATTGAGAAGGGTGGTATAATTATAAAACCCAGGCCAGGTGGCATGTTCCTTTAGTACCAGCATTCAGGAGCCTAAAACAGGTGGATCACTTAAACCCAGGCACTCAAGGCCAGCCTGAGCAACACAGTGAGACCCTGGCTTAAAAATATACAACCAAGGGTTTAAATAATGAAATAGTGAATAAACATCAATTGTCTACTATCTTATCCACTGTTATGGGCACCGAAGAAAGATTTACCATATTTCATTGTGCCCAGAGCTGAGAATAAGGAAATATGTTGGCATTTTGTGAACTCTAAAGCACCATATAAGTATAGCTATTGATTTTCCAATTTGGTGCTCCATGCCAAGTTTATAATTCAGTTATTATACTATGCTAATACATTTTCAAAATCCAAGGACTGTTAGTTATTTAACACTTAACATCATATGTAAGGCATTCAATGCCTGATGAATGCAAGAATGGATGGTAATCATCTGTTAGGTTCCAGTGTTCTTGCTTGGCACTGAGATGCAAAGATATACCATCTTTATTCTGTCCTTGGTAGCAGAAGAAATTATGTATAGTCTGAATTTATAATTTTTAAACTGCCAAACATGCATAAGCAATATCTTTTGAATTAATAATGATTATATTGCTTATTTGTTTTATGCCCAGAGATAGCAAGTGGGGTACAAAAATTCATTATCTTTATTAATGAACCTGTACAGAGATCTGTGTATATATTTATAAAGCCTACAGCTCTCTACAGAGAGGAGTTAAATGTTGGCTTAATCAGTAATCAGTGATTACTTTCTGTGAGGTTCAGAACCGTATCCCTTAGAATAGCAAAATCATTTTATCATTATGGAGTACTCACAGGAGAAAATGAAATAACAAATGTGATATTCAGATCAAAGGGTCATGTAACCACTCACTACTAAGCTTATACAATGATGAAAATGGAGAAAATAGATTTGTATAAGGCAGTATGCTAAATGCTGAGCTAAGTAGAGGGGTAAAATCCCATCTACACTTACCACCTGGTTCAGTGGAAAAGGTGGGAAAACATTTCCTGAAAAGCAAGGTATGTGATTTTTCCACCCAGTTTCTTAAATATTGATTGAATGCTGATGATGGACATGAATTAGAACCACCCTGGCCTGGCTCAGAGAAAGTAAAGGAGTGAAAGAAAATAGCTTACCTGTCTAATTAATCTGACAAGTAAAGCATCTTTTATGTGGAATGTGCCACTCTAGGTCCAAAAGATAAGTGAAGTGAAATGGACCTAGTCTAAAGGACATTAGGTCACTGATCACAGCACCAGACAGACAACACCTCTTTGATTTGATTATTAAATAAATAATATTTCAGTGCCTGATCACTGCAAGGCATTGTGTTCAATGAATTAGTAAGGAGGTCTGGCTCAGAAAACCCATTAACTTGCCTTGGAGATTTGAGAAAACACAGAAAAAAAGGGCAAGATTCCTTCAATGTAACATGAAATAAAATAAAGACATTTTTCCTACTTCTGGGAAAGAGCCAAAGACACTGGCTTGTCGACCTCCTTTAAAGCCTGAAGACTGATAAAAGGGCTCACAGTTTGAACTTAATGAATTAATTAAACAAACATAGAATGTTTTCTATAATTAAGTGATTCAAAGGAGAATAAAAATGAAAACAATGGTTTTTAGAAATATTTACTCATTGCTTGGCTTAGAAACAGGAAGACACGTGAGCAATAAAAAAGGATTTTCACATTTACCATATTTAGCAAAAATGTATTAAAACTGAATAAAGTATTGTTTTTAAGTGCTCAGTAGAACGAGGACATTTTTAAACACCTAAACTAAAATGCACTCTTTATCTCAACAGCATGTAGTGGAAACACAAGAACACATTTAATAAGAGACTACGGTTCTTTTTTACTTGAAAAAAACTTATCAAACAGTTGTGATATGAAAGACACTGAGAAGGAACAACTAAGTAGATTAACTTCTCATTGGCATGCTTGGTACAGTGGGAATAACACTTTATTATTATGGGCTTTCTGTTTTTTCATTCAGACATATCACTGAAGATGATGCTAAAATACTAAATGAAATAGATGTGTTCCAAAACACACTTAATGTGATTTGGAGGTACAATAAAAAAACCCATAAAGGAACTGATAACTCTTTGTATCAAACAGAAGTATCTATTTTGTCAAGCCATTATGTTAAAACTCAGAAAACAAAAAAGAGCTTGACTGAAAGACTGTGAATTCTTTTTGAGAATGGACAATCAATATTGATTCATTTTCCTCATTTGTTTATCCATTCTACAGGTATATATGGGCACCTATTGGATGTAAGGTCCTTAGGTTGGCCCAGACATTAAACAAGATGCTTGCCTTTCCAGAGGATTTCTTAAACTTTGCTTCTGGCATGTTTTCTGGCTAAGGGCATGGCTAAGTCCCCAAATAAATAACATTGTGTAGTTTTATTCCTCCCCAACACCTCTTCTACCATTCTGGCCACTATGATGAGCAGGTAGCTGGGTTCTGTTAATGAGCTTATTCCTTAAGTTGCTGGTATCCTCCAATATAGAAGCTACTTCATTTTCCATGCCCATGCCTCATGTAAAATGATTATGACCACTACTGAGGAGAGATGAGAGCCAACTAATTCCCAAACCCCAGTCTCCCAAACCCGTCTCATTGTTATCTACACCTTGGGGAACCACCCATACTTATGTCACAACTGCTTTTGAATGAATTTGTCTGTTTTCAAATCTTTACCCCTAACATGCTCATGCATGTACATCCCCTAATAGATTTCTTTCAGAAAGAGTCCTCAGTTAGCACATGAGTAAAATGTAGATGGAGACATGATTTTTCCTGGAGCAGTTCTCCATACTCAGGAAGGGCTTGTTATGGCAGAATATTGTCAGTAGATGAGAAGAGCTTAAATTTTTACTAGGCTTGCTTAAGTTTTAAGAACAATAAAAATTGGGAAAAAAAATGGAGGAAAAAGACCAAAAATAAAAACAACAAATAATCCTCTAAATGCATGCCTGGCTAGGTTTTGGCCTTTTCCATTTTTAAATCACTCACAGAGGGTGGGACAGGAGGAAGAGTGAAGGAAAAGGTCAAACCTGTGTCTAAGGGCAGCCTCCATTTGTTCTGAATTGGCTTGGGAGCATTACTAGCTCCTGGCCTCAATGAATTAATGTGACCCCTGATGGTTTCCTTAACCAAAATTTGCTGTGAAGGAGGTGGACTTTATTGTTCATACTTTCAAAACATCTAAGCAGTGTTTACATGGCAAGTCAGCACTGATACCCATAAAGGGAAAAGGAAATAGATAAATGGTGGAGGGAGCAATATTAAAAGGAATTTGGGAGTGACATTTTCTAGCTTTGACTATGTACATTTTTAGTTAGATACAGCTGAAATAGTAATAATGCTCACTTTTAAAGTGTGGCATCAGCCTGACTCAGCAACACTTTTCTCTTTAGGTGGGGGGTGGGGGACAGCTACAGGAATGTGGAAAGAGAAAAGCCTTCCTTCCACAGTTCCTGCATTCCTGAGCACAACTCATTAAATAAGAAAAAGCAAAAAAAAAACCTTTCCCCTCACCTGCTTTTATAATGTTAATGAAGCTGCCCAACAAACCCTTTTTAAAGGAAATGGCTTCATCTACATTCTTTAAAGTGAAACCAAGACACCTGGGCTGGCCAACAGGTGTGTAAGACCACTTCTGTCAGATCTTTTGTTTAGAAGCTTGAAAAATGTTGCTCAGACAGGATGAGCACCCAAAAGCAATCCTAAGTAACCCTTATTATACAAACTTATAAGAACTGGAAAACTGTTTCAACTGTTTGAACTGTCTGTTCACTGTTAAATAAAATGTTCTGGTTTTGAAACTTTTATTAACTTGTGACAATGTCTAATTCACTGTCCCTTACTCACCACACTGATTACCTAAACTCTTCTAATTTTTAAAATACTCTGATCATCCTACAGGGTTATGATTTGAGGTCTCATTTCTTACATGTTCAGTTACTTTGGTCAAGGACACCAAGAAGCACCTATAAGACCAAAAAATGTGGGAAACAAAGAGCCTCAATGATCCAGAGAGCAATGGGAATAGGCATATTTGTCAAATTATAGGACTTCTATATTTTAGATATTTGAATCGTATGTATATTAACCCCTTCCATGTCCATATCTACAAAGAGTTTCTGACTAGCTGACTTGTAGAATATCCTTTCTATCACGAGAATTCTACCATTTTATCATTTATACTATATTCTATTTCTTTAAAAATATCCCCCAGCAAGGGCTAGGGATGGGAATCAGTGATAGAGCACTTAACCTGGCATGTGCAAGGCCCTGGGTTCAATGTCTGGGTCTACACACACACAAAAATAAAGAAAAAAAAGAAGAAAAAAAACTCTCAGCTACTTATACATTTTACATAGTGGTTCAGCCTTTACCTGTTCATCCACAAAGGGGCTGATCTGTATTAACATCTGTTCCAAAGATGTTTTTAGGTTAATTTTCCACATTGGTCAGTGAGTCTAAAAGAAAGAAGAAAAAAAAAAACCACAATGGTTTAGTGAATAACCTAAATAGATGCAGCTGCCAGCAGTGTCCAATGAAAACGAAAAAATAAATATTAAAAAATTCTCTCTCTCAAAAAAAAAAAAAAATAAAAAAATGAAAAAGAAGAGGCTGCTACATAGTGAGACTGGCACTTCACTTGGTGTCTATTATACATGTATGTCCTTCAGCACTTGGCTGTTTCTCCTCTCCTCTGCCATGAGCTGATGCTGCATGAGGCCCACACTAGTAAATGATGATCATGATCTTGAACCTCCCTACTCCAGATTAGTGAGCTACAGGATTTTTTTTTTCAAATATTTTTTAGTTGTAAATGGACACAATATATTTATTTTTATGTGGTGCTAAGGATCGAACCCAATGCCTCACATGTGCGAGGCGCTCTACCACTGAGCTACAGTCACAGGCAAAGGATTTTTTTAATTTTTAAAATATGAATAGATGGACACGATACCTTTATTTTATTTATTTATTTATTTTTATGGGATGCTGAGGATTGAACCCAGTGCCTCACATGTGCTAGGCAAGCTGTTTACCATTGAGCTACAACCACTGCCCCAAGGATTTCTTTTTTGATAACTCCCAGCCTCAGGTATTTTGTTGTCTTCACACAAACCAGATAAAAATAACTGTGGTGATTCAAACACTTATTAAAATGTCCAGACTTGGGGCTGGGGATGTGGCTCAAGCAGTAGCGCGCTCGCCTGGCATGCGTGCAGCCCAGGTTCGATCCTCAGTACCACATACAAAAAAACAAAGATGTTGTGTCTGCCGAAAACTAAAAAATAAATATTAAAAATTCAAAATAAATAGATAAAATGTCCAGACTCCTCCAAGTGTTCTATACATTCACTGTAATACCTGTCAGAATAACAAAGGTATTGTTTTTTAATGAAAATAGCAAACAATTGTGCAATTCGTATGGAATCATGAAGGCCCCTGAATATCCATAACAGTTTTGAAAAAAGAGCAAAACTGGAAACTTCATATTCCATGATTTCTAAACATATTATGAAACTATAATAATTAAAGAGTAGCTGGGTGCAGGGGCATATACCTGTAATCACAGTAGACTCGGGAGGCTGACGGGGGAGGATCAGAAGTACAAAGTAGGCCTCATAAACTTAGTGAGACCCAGTCTCAATAAAATATAAAAAAGGGCTGGGGATATGGCTCAGTGGTTAAGTGCCTCTGGGTTTAAATCCTAGTACCAAAAAAAAAAAAAAAAAAAAAAAAAAAGAGTATTGTAATGGCATACATATAGATATACAAACCAATGAAACAGTAGGGACCTTGGAAATAATGCCATTCAGTATGATCAACTGATTTTGACAAGGGTCCAAGAATACATGATAGGGAAAGGAAATTTTCCTGGGGAAAACTTGATGTCCATATGCAAAAGAATAAAATTGTACCCATATCTTATACTATACCAAGAACATGAACTCAAAATAGATTTAGAAATTAAATGTAAGACATGGAACTGTAACTCCTAGAGAAAACAGAAGCTTCATGACGGTGGCTTCGGTGATGATTTTTAGACTGACACTAAAAGCACAGAAAAGAAAAGAAAAGAAAAATGGTCAAGTGAGACTATATCAAACTAAAAAGTTTTCTCACAGCAAAGGAAAGATTCAAGAGTGAAAAGTCACAAAAGGGGACAATCTACATAATAAGCAAAACTCTGTGTAGATACCTATACAAACTATTCATATATAAAATATAAGAGGAAGTCCTATAATTTGACAGAAAAAAAAAATATAGCAAATAACCCAAATAAAAAGTAGACAAAGAGAGGCTGAGGATATAATATAGCTCAGTTGGTAGAGTGCTTGCCTCGCATGCACAAGGCACTGGGTTCAATCCCCAGCACCACATACACAAACACACACACACACACACAAAAAAAAAAAAAGGAAAGGAACTGAATAGATATTTTTCAAAAAAGAGACAAATAGCCAGCGGATATATCTAAAGGGGCTCAACTTCACTATAAAGCAAATGTCAATCAAAGCAACAAAATACATCTTTTAGGAGAGACTTGCAGATAGATTTTCAGTTCATGATGAACAACAGCACTAACTGCAGATCTGGGCAAAACTGGTTTGGGTCAGCAAAAACAGGAAGAGTGGATTTACAGCAAACATGGACTTATGGTGCCACCTAGTGGTAAAACAGGGGAAGTGACTGCCATAGGCTTAATATAAGTCTGCTTAGAATTTATGATACATACATAAAAAATTGGTTCTTTTTAGTTATATAATGACAGTAGAAGCCATTTTGACATAATTATACAAGCATGGAATATATCTTGTTCTAATTCAGACCTTAGAACTTCTACTTCCCCTTCAATCTCCCCAGAATATACCTCAAGAAGAAAGGCTGCTATATTTGGCTGCCCCTAATCTATGAGGTACTGGAAAGGAATAGAGATCATAGGGTAGAACTGAACTCCAACAACCCCGATTACTGGGAGATGTTTCTTGCTTGGGGAAAGTTGAAGGAAAAAAGTCCAGGGATTAGAATTAAAACATGGCCCCAGGCCACCCTAGAGAAACCTAGCATTAGACTGGGCCCCACAACCCCTGCACTCAAGCTGGCACACATGGAATGAGCCAGTGGAACTGCATTAGCCAGGCAGTCAAGGAATTGTCAGTACCACCATTCCCCAAATTGGGGCAGAAGACTCCCATGACTACGCATGTACTAGTGGCTGTGGGACTCAGGTACAAGAGCATCAACCTCATTAGCCAAGGGACTGCCTCCACCATCCCTCCCCCAACCTTGGGCACTTCAATGATCCCAAAGCCAGTCCTCAAAGAAGGAAACTACACTTGCTCTAGCATCAAAGAGACACCTGTGCACACTGGGAGGTACTTGTATTTCTGCATGCCTCTCTGCCAAACTAAAGATAAACACGGGCTTAGGCTGCTATATAGTGGTGAAATGGTTATGGGAAACAAAGAAAAGCAGCAGCCTGCTGAGAATTTCTGAAAAGATAAGCACAAACCAAGCCAGGTTCCAAAGACTGGAATGAATACTGAATCCTTGAAATGCACAAATAATGAGGAATGCCAAAAATCATTATGAACGGTCAGGGAACAATGCTGTCACCTAATAATCAAAATAAGGAACCAGAAATGGACCAGATAGTAACCAGTATTGGTGAACTCTTGTATAATCGATTTAAAGAAGCTGTTTTATAGAGACTCAGTGACATCAAGAAAGGAAAACTATAGCCAAATCCAGAGAGACAGAAAGTAGATCAGGTGTTTCCGGGGCCCTTTAAAAAAATAGGGACTAACTTTCTACATGGTATGGGATTTCCTTTTGTGGTGATGAAAACATTTGGAACCTGATGGAGTTAATGGTTGCACAAAAATGTGATTGTGCTAAATGGCACTGGATTGTACAGTGAGTGAGTTTCATGTTATATAGATGTCAACTTATAAAAGGAAAGGATACTCCAGAAAGATATGGTATAATGGGGTATATTATAAATTTTTAACTTTATTTAGGAGTAATTCCAAAATAAAAAATTACAAGAAAACCTTAATGTAATTTATCACATTAATTGGTTAAACAAGAAAATTTCATGATTATATCAACTGAAGAAAAATGATTAAGCAAAATTTAATACCCATTCATAAAAAAAGAAAGAAAAGAACAAGCTGGTCCCTGTGGCACACACTGTAATCCTAGTGGCTCAGGAGACTCAGGCAGGAGGATCAGGCAGGGGTTCAAAGACAGCCTCAGCAAAAGCAAGGCACTAAGCAACTCAGTGAGACCCTGTCTCAAAATAAAAAATAAAAAGAGCTGAAGAATGTGGCTCAGTGGTTAATCACCCCTGGGTTCAATCCCTGGTACCCAAATAAATAAATAAATGGTTTTACATTTTCCACAAATGAAGTCCATGATAACAACCACTGCATTATAACATTAATTTGAGTTTCTCTCTTTTCTCAAACTTTTTGGTAGTCCCTTGATTTATATTAAATGCATATACATTTGAAGCTGAGAGGTTGTCTAAGTGGAAATAGTTTGATTCTCTTAAAAATAAAGCCAGGAGGGCTCAGTGGTAGAGCGCTTCCCTGGTATGTGTGAGGCACTGGCCATGTACAGGGCCATGTACATGATGCAGAGTCACATGGGTAGTATAATTATTTTGAATAAAGCAGGAAGTTGCCTGGGCCATTCCCTCCCCCAAGCAGATTTTAAAGAGATGCCTTTTGCTTGGGGGAAGGAAAACATTTTCTGCCTGACACCTAAAAACCAGCACCAGAATAGCCTTGATGAAACCCAGTGC